GTCGTGCAAGGCCGTGCGTGGACGTTCTTTCTCTGCATCGGTGCCGTCACGTCGGATGAAGGAGAGCCTTCGTGCATAGAGCACACAAGCGGTTCCTCTCCTGCAAGAATGACTGACAGCGGGATGCGCAGCCCCGTTTCTCTGGCGCATGTACCTCGACTGACCCGTCTCTCGCTGTGCTCCCAGAAGAGCCAGCAGAGCCCCGGAGGCCTCGGCTGGGAATGTGTTTACCCCTCTGGGCGGGACCCTTCCGTTCGCAGAGGCTTCTTCTGTGACATGAGCAGGGTACTCAGCGCTCCGAGGACAGGCATGTTCCTAGTCCATAGCTTTTGGTTTGGGGAAGGAAGCAGTTTGACAGGAGGGCTGCCCCATTTGGAAAGGCTTCAGAAGAATCCACTTTCCCCCGTCTTTCCTCCTGGTTCAGTTCATCATTTTCTTGATGGCTCCTTAACCCGGAGATGCCAGGAGCTGTTAGCAGAGGAATGTTGGAAAAGTTTATGATGCCTCTTCCGTCTTTGTGACTCCGTTCTGAAGCTCCTGTGTGACTGTTATGAATATCTCCGGCATTAATTAGAAACAGTCGCTTTCTACAGTCCCAAAGGAAGAGCTTATTGCAGAAGCCGCTTGGTTTTGATTTTTAGAAGTGTGGCAGGTGAAGGGGGAAACAAGCTCGGAAAGGTACGCACCTCCGCTGGCCTGGGATGTCGTGGCCACACAGCAGGGCTGCAGGGGGTCTTGCGCCTGGAGCACTGCCCTGCGCCCCCCGTGGGGCTGCCCCCCAGGCTGCGGTGAGTGCAGGAGGCGGCCGCTCGGCTGTGGTTGGGAGTGGCTTCTCCTCAGCTCCTCTGCTGCAGGAACAGCCTTGGGCTCCGACGTGCTGCCGGGCCAGGATTAAGGCTTCAGGGCTAGTGGGGTCCTTTCAGTCCAACGCATCTGGAGGGCGTGAGGCCGGGAGGACAGGTGCAGGAATTCCAGGTGGGCGATGACGCGGTAATATGCAGCCTGCAGTTCGAGGCCACTGACCGGTTTCCCCCGGACCTCTTAGTGAGCCCTGCCTTTCGCAGCTTGCCTGGTCACCAGCGGCGACCAGAGATTCCATGCAGGTGAACGAAGAGACTGGCAGAGGAGGGAGGGGAGACGTCTGCTCCCCCTCCGCCAGGTGCCGAGTTTCCAAGCCATCTCTCCCCGCACAAGGAGCTAGAAAACGCAGCAGGTTCCATGCCCCACTTGGCCAAAATCGGGTCGATTGGCTTGTTGAGTAGCCCAGCAGTGGTGACCCCGTGCCTGGAGCACTGCTGTGCGCCCCCAGTGGGACTGCCCCCCAGGCTGCCGCTCGCTGTGGTCAGGGGCAGCCTCTCTGCAGCTGCGGGAACAGCCCTGGCCAGCTTGGGACCCCTCGTCCTTCCAAGCTGCCCCATCAGCAGGGCCATGGTGGGGGGGGGGGAAGCTTCTCCCAGGCCTGCAGCCCTGTTGGAGCCCACCAGAAGGGCCTTCAGCACGGTGGCCCCACTTCTCTGGGGTTCCCTGCCTTGGAGGCCGGGCAGGCGCCTGCACAGGGCGGCTTGGGGTGCCTGCCAAAGGCCGTCTCATTCCGGGAAGCTTTTCTTGCTGACCAGCCACCGTCTGCGTATTTTTTGCTTTAAATGCCTTTCATGTACATCCTCCTGTGTCCGCAGGGGGGAAGGTTCCAAGCCCCCCCCACTGGATGCCTAAAACTGGCCTGTCGTGATACCTGAGCCCAGGTCCGTGACTTACCTGCGGCTTGCATGCACTTCTCTTCTTTCTGTCCTGAAAGGTGGGGGGCAAAGCACTGCTGGCGAGAGCGTCCTGAGCCATCCGCAGGGCTCCTGCTGCGCCCCGCACTTTGAGGGGACGCCTTGCAGACCTTCGCAATATCACACAGGGCACTGTGGCTTGCAGGAAACCCTCCATTCTGCACCCAGTGAAACCGTGGACTCGGCGGCTGCACGAGGCGGTGATGGCCCCGGCTTGGCCTGGTTGACCACAGGCAGGGACGAGGGGGAATCCATGGCTACTGGCCACGTCCGCGAAGTATTAGCCCCCTGACTGGGCCCCCATGGAATCGGCGCCTCTGGACACTGGGAAATGCCCCACGAGTTTGCACAGGGGTGCCCACCCAAGGGGCCCCGCGTCACCTCCAAGAAGGACAGCAGTTCCGTTTCGAACTGCCCCCAGCATGGCGTTGGCCTGTTCCGCGGACGCCAGTTGCCGGGCCAGCATCTCCGGTCGGCGGGCAGCTCCCCGTTTGAGCAAAACTGCCTCGGTAGCCAGGCGCAACCGGGACCCTCAAGCCGGCAGCGCGAAGGGTCCGAAGCCAGACCCCGCCGCGACCCGTGGGCGCGGCCAGAAGGCGAGGGCAGTGGCCACGCCAGCGGGATGAGTGCCGCCCCAGCCGGGGCTCTCGCCCGACACCACCCTTGCCGTTCCCAACGGGAGCCGCTCGCGGAGCCGGGTGAGCCCCGTCTGCTCGCACTCCGACCTGCTCGCCAAACAGCCCAAGGAGCAGAGCTGGGAGCTGGCCCAGCCACAGCCCCTCGCGCCGATCCATCACCGGCTGGAGGCAGCTGGAGGCAAAGGCATCAGGCCCCGGATTGATGTCGCTTGGCCTTTTATTAACGCAGATGCCTTTTCTGCCCTGGGTTGGAGCGGCCATAAACAGTGTGGGGGAAGGAAGGGGAGGGCCCCCGACCAGGTTCCATTAAGGCATTGACTCATCACCGCTGTTGCAAATTTGTTTGTTCGAACCTTACATTTAATTCTCGGGGTGATGATGATTTCCATGTACGGCACCATGGGGGTCTGTGGTGTTTTACTGAGGAATACTTGTGAGCCGCCCCGAGGCTTTGTTGCGATGGGGGCGGCATAGACATGTTTTAAATAAATAAATAAATAAATGCTAGTCCCAGACAGGTCCCTGCCTCGGGGAGCATTCAGAGAGAAGGAGCCAGCAGGCAGCAGGCAGAAAACTGAGGGGGGGGGGGGGGGGGGGGGGGGAGGGAGACTTGGGGTGATAAAAGTGCCAGAGGCAGCCAGAGGGGGGAGAGGTTCAGGGCAGGAAGGAAGGAAGTGGTACATAGAAACATAGAAACAGAGCGAGTTGGAAGGGGCCTCCCGGGCCATCTAGTCTGACCCCCGGCTCCAGCCGGCTCTGCTCACAACATGCCTACCATGTGCACGTCCAGCCTGTCCTTGAACACCCGCACCGATGGGGCCTCCACCACCCTCCACCAGCCCATTCCTCACCCTGGGGGTCCTAACCGTCAGGAAGTGCTTCCTGGCGCCCAAATTGAACCCTGGTTCCCTGAGCTTGGCTTTGATCTCCTAAATGCGACCGTGCTGATCCAGCCCTTGCTCCAGTTGAGGAGGACGAACTGGAAGGCCAAGGAGATGCAAACTGTGAGGCCCCCACATTCCTGGCTAAAGGAAAGCAGAGGACACAGTACCCAGTGCGATATGGGGCTAGGGAATTGGGCAGGACCCGAGGGCTAGCAGGTCCTAGTCCCCGCTCAGCCAGGGAGCTCCCTGGGCGATTTGGGGCCAGTCCCTTCCTCTCAGCCTCACCTACCTCACAGGGTTGTTGTTGCTGTGAGGATGAAATGGAGCCTGCCTGGATTCCTCGCATGAGGGAAAAAACCCAAGCTGCAGCGTAACAACAACTGCAACAGCAAAAGCTACCTGGGCACTTCCAGGTGTTGGGCTTCCACATGGAGCCGGCACATGGCGGGCATGTCGTGAGCGGAGCCAGCTGGAGCCGGGGGTCAGACTAGATGGCCCGGGAGACCCCTTCCGACTCGCTCTGTTTCTACGTTTCTGTGTGATCCAAATGACCCACAGCCAACCACCCTCCACTTCTCAGCTGACTCTGCGGTCAGTGACTGCCGCACTTGTGCTGCTTCTGAATTCCTACAGAGTGTCAGGATCCGACCGACTTCTCCTTTGCTTCATGGCCGCCAGCGTCCTCAGAGCCTGATTTGCATGGATGGTTATCTTGTTCAGCCTGGAATTCACGCACCCACACCGAGCAGTGACGAAAAAGAGGCCGTTTGGCAAGATTTCAGAATCTTGACCCATTCAAATGTTCAAGGATAATGACCACAAATTATTACCCTGCCTGACGAATTGTAAGGCAACAGCAAGTCAGGTCTCCAGTTGCTCAATTCATTCCATTTACACTTCTAAATCAGTGGCATCGAACGGCATCTATTTATAGTTCAGACACACACGCATTCCGACAGGCTTCAAAATGGGAACGTTTCCTCCTCAAATTTTCTGAGCTGTCGTCGGTGGGTTTGTCGTGGCGTGCATGCTGCGGTCCCTCGCGGGCGGGACTCGTGGCAGCGTGTTCTTCCGGGCTGCATTCAAGCTAGGAAAGTCTTCTCACTCCAGTTCTCGGTAGCTCACAAGGAAAGGGCCGTCAGCAGGAGACCCCGTTTTTGCCTGCGGTCCTCTTCAGTTGAGGGGCACGTCTCCGCGCTGCCCTGATATGGCAGACTACAACTCCCATCATCCCCAGGCGGTGTGGCCAATGATTGGAGCTGCAGCTGGGGGGAACCGCACTGGGGCCACCTTGATTTGGGACTTCTCTAAACGAGGCTCTCCACGGGCTGCAGAACGGAGATCTGAGCAAGCGCATTTGCTGTCTTGGTTTTCCATGGCACGGCCGCGAGGCGGCGGTGTGGCGTGGCAGAAAAATGCAACCACACGCGGCAAAGCGGCCTTTCCTTTTGCTTTGACAATAAACTGTTGCATTGCCCTGCCTTAAAAAGAAGCGTTCAGAAGGTGCTGTTTAGACTCAGAAGCCAAACTGGAGGGTCGTAATGTCCCCTGCAGAGCCTGTAAAGAGCCACGCATCCGGAACGATGAGCGGGCAGGAGATGCCCCGTGTGGAAAAGCGAATGCGCAGTGGCTGTTAGACTCACTTACCTGCTCCTTGCCTTTCAGCATCTGCTCAAGGCCAGACACACACCCAGGCCGAGGAGCGACTCTTCAAGTACCTCTTCAGTGCGTACAACAAGTGGGCCCGGCCGGTCCCCAACACCTCCGATGTCGTTATCGTCAGGTTCGGGCTGTCCATTGCTCAGCTGATTGACGTGGTACGTACCCCAACCCACTGGGACTCGCCCTGGGCACCTTTGCAACACTGGCAGCCACCACTTCCCTCTTCCCAACTTCAGGGGATGGGATCCATGGCAGGGAGAGGAAAGAGTCACCATTCAGAGCGACGGTAGGAAAACCCTCCCTCTGAACTGGCTTTGCGATGCCACGGAATTGCTTACCACCTTTTTCCTAGAAGTCATCGCATGAAAACACGCAAACCCAGCAAGCCACGATGGGTGGCTGCCCGCAGGAGAAGCAAGGTGGATATTCCCCTCTTGTGGTTAGGAAAATCCCCGTGGATGAACGTGGTGGCCGTTCTCCTTCCTCTGGCTCAAGGGTTGGGTCGAGCTTAGCCTGGGGCTTCCGTGCAGCCGTGATGTCTTATCCTCCTCTTTGCAGGGCTGAATGTGATACTGGGAAGGGACTGTATGCTTGTCTCCCCCTTTCCACCCACCCCCTTCTGCTTCTTTCTCACGCATTCCCTCCCCTCCAAGGACGAGAAGAACCAGATGATGACCACGAATGTCTGGCTGAAGCAGGTAATCGGGCCGGGAGAAGCCGAGCAGAGTTGCATGGCACTGGGAGGAACCCGGGTCGGCCTTCCCCAGCCTGGCGTCCTCAGCTGTGCTGGGCTGCATTTCCCACTTCCTATTTTCCGAGCCACTTCCTATTTTCCAGAGAGAGGATTTAGCACTGCTTTCCCCGCTGCGTGTTATTCCTGTCTGCATGCCCTTCCCGTGCAGCTCTTTGTGGAACGAAGAACAGAGGGCGAAGGGTTGATTTCTGCCCTGCCGCTTACATGGTCCTCCTGCTTTTTGGCTCTCTGAGCTGCGGGTGTCCAGAGCAACCAGAACTGGTCCCATGCCTGCCATTGTCCCTTAGAAGGTGGAGTAGGGCAGCTAAAACATTCGGGTTCCATTCCCCCTTTTAAAAGCCTGTGTTCCCTGGAGGACTGAGCCTTGTGCTGGAGTGAATGCACCCAGAAGGGGCCGGCGAGCATCTCTCAACGGTGCAACCCCGTTCATATTTAGAGAGAAAAGTGGCATAGAAAATAACGGATGGAATTCTTTCCTGCCCCTCAGGAATGGAATGACTACAAGCTGCAGTGGAACCCGGCGGACTTTGACGACGTCACTTCCATCCGCGTCCCCTCCGAGATGATCTGGATCCCGGATATCGTGCTGTACAACAAGTAGGTGCCGGCTGGGGACGCGTGGCCTGGTGCAAGGCGCACGGGGAGCGGGGCGACCGCGTTGCGCTGATTTGGTTGCAAAGACACCCCTGGAAGAACACAGCACGGGAAGGGTTAATGCATGGGGGGCACCGGAGAACCCCCTTCCCCGTTGTCAGAGCAGAGACTTCTCCGGCCTTCCCCAGCCAGGTGCCTTCAGAGTTGAACAGCTTCTTCCGTCGTGGCTGGGCCTCCTGGGCAGGCTGGCATTGCGGGAATCCTTTCCTACCGTGCTCCCATCATCCCCAGAATCTTCCCAAGGTGTGCACAGGACTCTGCCACACTGCCGGTCCTCGAGCGGCCGGATGGCCTCCTCTGTGTGCGAGAGGGAGGAACCGGCAAGGGTGGGGAAACCCCGAGGTTTGTGGAAGAGCTTCAGCTGCAGGGTGGGAGCCAAGGGGGACCCCAAGAAACAGGCCCTGGGCGATGGATGTGGCAGGCTGCTGAGATGGAGGAAAGGGGGCTGGTGGGCATCCCGGAAAGGAGGGGCCCGGATCCCAAAGAGCGGCTCTCTGTCCAGCGAGCGTTTTGGGCCTGCCCTGCTGGTTCAGGCGCTGTAACTCAGTGTTCCAAGGAGACCTGCGCCCCTCGCCCCATTTACTCCCGAGGAAGCTCCCCTGAACAGCACGGGTGACGAGGAATGCCTGCGGCTGCTCGTTAGCATGTGGGAGGCCCTGGACAACGGGCAAAGCGTCCTGTGGCCTCCGTGGCCGGCTTTTTGTGGGCATAGGGGCCCCAGGCAGCATGAGGCTGTAGGCATTGGCTGGGACTGGGGAGGCCCGTGTCCTGGTCCCCATTTGAACACGGGGCTCCCTGGGTGGGACCAGGTGACTCACAGACCCTGGTAACTGGATTCTTGTCCCAAGGACACATTTATTTAATTTCTGCACTGCACAACCACCGAAGAGAGGAAAAGGAGGTCAGGATAGAGGAGGAGGAGGAGGAGGAGGGTGGCCCCTGGTAGAAGCAGGACGTTAAGCTGTTGGGATACTTGGTCCGCCCTTGCGGGCCTGATTTTATGCATGGCGGGTCTCCTACGCCTTGAAATGGCCTTGAGCAAAGCTCCGGGCCCTTTGGGTTCCAAATATACCTTCTCCTTCAGGGATAAACTTTTAGGTGCATTCTGGAGGGGGAGCCTTGGAAGCACGCCCGGGTGGCAGCCGCTGGGCAGCCACGGTGTCGTGTGACCATGTGCCACACCGTGACTGCAGAGGAAACGGGCAATGCGCTTGCAGGGAGGCATGCTGGGGAACTGCCACCTTCCCTCCTCAACTCTGGCTTTGAAGAAAGACGTGCAGCCCCTGAGCAACGCACGAGTGCCGGTGCATCGAATTCCGTGCAAAGCTGCACCCGGCCCAGGCAGGCAGGCAGGCAGGGGCTGGCTCGCTTTCTGGCGGTCTGCTGCCATCCAGGGATGCTTTTCGGTTGTGCATCGAGGGCTCCATTCCTGGCCCGGTGCTGTGATCACAGGCGAATTTTATCCGTGTGCGTTTGTGTGCGAGGGATGTGTAAGGCATCTGGCAGAGGGGCGAAAGTCCAAAGGGTTCTCTCGGCTCCGCTCCATGGATTCTGATCTGTGTGCTGGGACCAACACAATACGATACCAGTTGAGCCCAAACGTTGTCTTCTGTTTTCAAAACAGGACATGAACTGCATAATTGTTTTTCTTTCAAGCTGGTGAAATTTGCACAAAACTTGGGTTTCCGCTCCACCATTTGTGCACATTTCAACAAATTCTGGAGCAAAGGGACAACTTTTGCAAGAATCTGAAATTAAGCTTGCGGCAATCCCTGGTGGAGCGTGCACAGATGAGAGGAGCTGGCCTCCGTACTTCTCATGTGAAATGCCGTAATAAGAGAAATGTTCTAGTAAAATAAAAATAAAATAAAAAGAGCAACAGGAATCGCAACACGTTGACCCTAATTTGTGCAAACCTCACGTGAGATTCACAATTCCTTGGTCCAGATTTGCACAAAAATGTCGAGTAATTTCAAAGAAGCCGAACCTCCCCCTCTGCCACTGGCGGGTCGGAAATTGCTGAGAAACCGTTGAGCACAAGCTGAAGCAGTGTGTTAGTTGCCTCACATCACACACGTCTGTGTGTGCACCACACAGTGGCACCGGGCAGGCCCAAGGGCCGCAAGACGGCCAGTCCGGGGAAGAGGGTGTGTTGTGCAGAAGAGCACGCCGGCAGGCGGAAAGCAGCGATGGCCGGCGCACGGGGCGTAGAGCAATCTCAGTGAACGGTCGGCCTGGTAAGCGTGGGAAGGGCAAAGATTCGCGCAAGCACCTCCCAAAAGAGTGCGGTCGTGTCGCTGGGCCCCCCAGCAACCCCCCCAGTTGCGTGAGAAATCTGCTGCGCAGCATCTTCCTGGTCAGATGCCCCTTCCTGTTGCCCCTTGATGGATCTTTTTTTAGTTGAATGCCAAATTCTTTTCAGTTCCTCCTCTTTGTGTTCCCCTGCAGAGGCGCTGGAAAGGCGACCGCTCACGCCCAGCGCCGGCCCTTTCCAACCCGGTGCTTTCTCGCTGTCTTGGACAGCAACTCCCATAATCCAGCAGTGGGGGGTCATGGGAGTTGTAGTCGAACACATCCGAAGGGCACCAGGTTGGGGAAGCCTGTTCTACACCAGGGTCTAGCTCAGTGGGGGAGGCCACCAGTTCACTCCACAGCATCTCCAGTCGGAGTCCTTGGAGAGCCACAGCCAGGCAATACGGCATTATAAATGGACCGGTTGCCTGGCTCGGGATCGCCAGAATGGGCCCTGCAAGCTGCTGCAGGTCGCCTCTTCCCGACCCGATGTGGATGCACCACATCTTAACTTGTTCCTGGAGTCTGTGTCTCTCTTAGTTCTTCATTTTAGCTCTTCTTCAAGCTGGCGTGGCGTGGCGCGGCGGTCAGAGTGTGGACTGGGGCCCGGGGGATCCAGGTTCCACTCCCCACTTGGCTGCAAAGCTCCTGCGGTGACTTGGTGACCCAGGCGCTGACTGTCCACCCAACCACAGGGTTGCTGTTGTGAGGATAAGATTGAGAGGAGGAGGAGGAGGAGGAGGAGGAGGCGGCTGTGAACCACCTGGAGTTCTTTCAAGGAAGAACGGTGGAAATGAGCCCTTTCGGGAAATCCTAGAACCATGTCAAAAGGGAGCCCTGGTCAGCCGGACCCCACCCTCCCGACCCACTGAGCCCGGAGTGTGGTGTTGGCCGGGTGTGAGGACTTCCGATCCAGTCCAAGGTGCAGAACAGTGCCTGGGCGCTTCCCCGGAGATGACGTGGTTGCGAGCAGATCCGCCTTAGACACTCAAATCTCACTTGCCCAGATGGGGGACCCCAATTTCGCCATCCTGCAAGGGGCGAGGGGTGGCCCAGCGAAGTTTCCGTCACAATGAATCCGATGGTCCCCGATTCATTGCTGGGCACTTTGATGGGTACCCCACTCTGGACGGGCTCGGCTGCCACGGACCACCGGCGAGCCCTCCTGGGACAGCCGTGTCAGCCTTCCGCTCGCCGCCGGCGCGCTCCCTCGTGCCCTTGACCCCGGCCCGCTCTCCATTTCAGTGCCGACGGGGAGTTTGCCGTGACGCACATGACAAAGGCCCACCTCTTCTCCAACGGCAGCGTGAAGTGGGTGCCCCCCGCCATCTACAAGAGCTCCTGCAGCATCGACGTGACCTTCTTTCCCTTCGACCAGCAGAACTGCAAGATGAAGTTCGGCTCCTGGACCTACGACAAGGCCAAGATCGACCTGGAGAGCATGGACCACCACGTGGACCTGAAGGACTACTGGGAGAGCGGGGAGTGGGCCATCGTCAAGGCCGTGGGCACCTACAACACCAAGAAGTACGACTGCTGCACCGAGATCTACCCGGACATCACGTACAGCTTCGTGATCCGCCGCCTGCCGCTCTTCTACACCATCAACCTCATCATCCCCTGCCTCCTCATCTCCTGCCTGACGGTCTTGGTCTTCTACCTGCCCTCCGACTGCGGGGAGAAGATCACCCTCTGCATCTCCGTCCTCCTGTCGCTCACGGTCTTCCTGCTGCTCATCACCGAGATCATCCCCTCCACCTCCCTGGTGATCCCGCTGATTGGGGAGTATCTGCTCTTCACCATGATCTTCGTCACCCTCTCCATCGTCATCACCGTCTTCGTCCTCAACGTCCACCACCGCTCGCCCAGCACCCACAAGATGCCGCGCTGGGTGCGCACGGTCTTCCTGGACTTCATTCCCCGCTGGCTGTTCATGAAGCGCCCCCCGGTGCTCACCGCGGGGCTGAGGGTGGCCAGCGAGGACGTCATCGGGCAGTACGACATGCCCCCGGAGACCCTCAGCACCTCGAGGTGCTGGCTGGAGACGGACGTGGACGAGCCGTGGGACGAGGGAGGCCTGAGCCACGAGGAGAGGATGCCTGCCGGCCGCTTGCCCCTCCAGGCCTCCAGCCACCACCCCTGCCTCCAGTACCGCTACACCTGTGCCCGCCACCTGGGGAGGGGCTTTGTGGAGCTGGTCCAGCATCCAGCCGGCAAGCCGGAGAGTCTGCCGCCCTCCGAGCAGGGGCTGAGGCTCTCCCCGAGCCTCCTGAAGGCCCTGGAGGGGGTGCACTACGTAGCCAAGCACCTGCGGGCCGAGGACGCCGATTTCTCGGTGAGTCCGTGCTCGGAAAACCCCAGCCTGGATGAGAAACCCCGCCCAGCCCACCCGCCGTGTTCCCTCCAGCAGTGGCTGGCTGGATCGGGCTGGTGCCCTGGACACAGGATCTCGGCCCTGCCCCATCTCTGGTCCTGCGCCCCAGCATGTGGTTCTGGGGGACCCCACGGCTGCTGGCAGGATTCCATGCAGTCACGCCGCTGCCAAGAGACCCCGTCCTGTGGGACGGGTTCCCACCCTCTTTCCGCCCCTCCTGGTTTTTCATGGAATGTACTCTTCCTTTATTTTTTAAGAATTCCGAGCTGAAAACATTTTAACAGGCACACTGGAAAGGAGAGTACCGCTTTGCAGTGCCGTCTTCATTAGGGTTCTGCAGAGTGATTCTGTCTCTGCCTTTTGGAAAATGCATGTCTCGTGATTGGACACACCTGTCTTGGCAGCCATTTTGTGAGAGCGCCCCCGAGACTTTCTCAAAGTTGCGAAAGTCTCAAAGGTTGGCAGTCCTCCTGCTGTGAGGAAGAGGTTGAGGGAAGGCCGAGGAGGCAGAGCAACCGTATCTGAGCTGCTCCAGGGCGCCGTCTGGTGGCCAGAACCAGAACAATCCGCATGCTATGTGCGGGAGCAGTCCAGGTCCCACTGGAGCTCCCGGCCTCCTGAGCAGCGCAGCGCGGAGTCCGGAGGAGGCGCTATGCAAGAGCAGGCTCTTCCCTCCAGCACCAGCCCCAGCAGCAAGGGTCCTCCTCGTGGCCGTCGTGCCTGCTTCTTGCCAGACCCTTGCTGGGGGGACCTGCCTTGCTGTCTCATCGAAGCGGCGCAGGTCCTCCTGCTCGCTGTGGGTCAGCTCCAGCATCTCGCCCGATCCTTGATGCGTCTGGCTCCTGCCATGCCATGCCCTGCCCTGCCGTGCCGTGCCTGGATGCACCCTTGCTCCGTGCCTTGCTGTATCCTGCCATGCCTCGCTTCACCTAGCCTTGGCCAGCTTTGCTAGCTTGCCACCTAGCCTTGATTGCCACACCTTCACTGCTCCTGGCCCCCGTCCCCATCATCTGTACCCTGCTCTGTCTGTCTTCCTGGTTCTTGACCTTTGGCTTGCTCCGGACTGCACCCTTGTCCTGTCCCGAGATGCCCTCCTCTTGGCTTGGGCCTTGGCTGCACCGTTTCTGCACTTACTGATGGACCGGGCCCTGCCTCAAGTCCTGTTGCCCCATCCGGCTGCCCCTGGCTGGGCTCCTGCCTCCCATGTCCTGCACCCTGACAGCGTGTTACCAAAACGTCCCCTTGCCAGGCCTGGGCGCCTCGTCAGCAGTTTGGTGACGGAAATTTCCAAGGAGTTTTCGAACGCTGCCCCATAAAGCATGTTCGTGAGGCTCCCAGCTGGCTGGGGCTGGCTGGATTGGCACCTTTTCCATTCTGCTGCAATTTTACGTTGGATTTGTAATCTCAATATTTTGGTTTTTAGGGGGCTTCCCCACCCCAGTTCTGAACAGCGCAAGGAAGGCTGGTGGCCATTTGCCTGGCTCACGCTTTCTCCCTTGTTTGCAGGTGAAAGAGGACTGGAAGTACGTTGCCATGGTGATTGACCGCATCTTTCTCTGGATGTTTGTCATCGTCTGCTTGCTGGGGACAATCGGACTCTTCCTCCCGCCGTTCCTGGCTGGCATGATCTAGCTGGGGCGCCTGTGGAAGGGACTGCCTTCCTCAAGGACATCGGCACCAGCCCAGGACCCTGACAAAATTGCCATACAAACACTCGCTCACCGACTGAACAGCTCCCCTCAAAGGGTTGGGATTCGGAAGCAGGACAGTCCGAGATCAGGAGCTTCTGCTGCCCAAGTCACCTTGCTCTCGGGTCCTTCTGCGGTCAGCTGAAGGAGTTTTTATAAACAAGGAACTCTGCTGGTATTCAGATCGGCCCAGGCTAGAGGCGGGCTGCGGCAGTCAGCGGGGCCGGGTGGCCTGAGGACCTTTTGCAGAGTGGCCCTGGCTCTGGAGGGCCGAGAAGGTTCTGGGAAGCTGGTGGCGGCCACACCGAGCGGACGGTGTGTGATGAGCGAGGCTCTGCAAACGGCGAGGGCGCCAGGAGCGTGCCTGGTGGGAGAGGAAAGGCCTGCAAGTCGGAGATGCTGCGCAGACGGCAGCGGCACCTCCTCCCTGCCACCCGAGGCCTGCCCCAGTGAGACGGGCTGCCCCCTCCCCGTGGGTTGCTGGAGTGTGATGGGACACCGGAGCCGCCGTCCCGACGGGCAGCCGTGTCGGGCAGGAGGGGGTTGCGAGAAAGGCTCAGAGGGCTTGCTTTGCCGGGGGGCTCTGTTCTCTGAGGAGGCCGGATCCAGCCCATAGAGAAATTCTCCCAGAAATTCAACCCATCCCCTCGTGAACTCGAAACAGACCTTCGCTATGCCTGGACTGGTGCAAATTCTTGGACAGAACGTGCATGGGATGGACTCGACGGGACATGGGCCTTCCTCCTCACGATGCACTGGCCTCGGGGCAGACGCCTCTCTCGGGGGAAGGGGCAAAGTGCCCCATCGGAAGCCAGCTGGGAGTGGGCTCTTTCCACAGAAGGCCAAGGCAGCATCCCCAGTGGCCCCTGTGATCTGGCCTTCTCAGTTCCCTGTGAGCTTTTTCCTGCAACCCACGTGGAAGCAAGGTGCATGAAACGCGGCGGAGATTTCCACGTGCCAAAACTTACCCCATCTCCTGCAACCAAAGCAAACCTGTGTGCGTGCAGAAGGCGATGCAGCTCGGACATTTGGGAAACTCCCCGGATGCTCGTGATGTTTCGGATCGGGAGAAACATTCTGCTTGAGGAGAGGGGAACCGCGGCCAGCGCAATTCTCGGGGGCGGAGTGGGGGCCGCCGAGCCCCCTTTGTGCCTCGTGAGCATGACGGCTCTCCCCTTGCAAGCGGCCCCGCCGAGGGTTTGTTGAACCCAGAGCGAGGCGCGCTCAGCAGGGGTTTCTCGAGCCCCCTTCAGGTGGCACCTACCTGAAGCACAGGTGGGTTTCTCTAGGTGTAGATCTGTGACATGCAAATGTGGGAGTGCGACACAACGGGCGCACCCCTGAGCTTCCTGCTAAGGCACGGGCCCTTGTGAGCGCATGCAGGCTACCCCCCCCGCCCCAGCCCCCGCTTTGCGCCAGGAATTCTCGCATGCAGCTGCTGCAGCCCGAGGCTGCCCGAGGCCTGTGCCTTCTACTCGGGAGCCGGGAGCCCTGTTCTCGTGATGGGGTGCAGGGGATACTCTGTATACTCAGAGGCACTCTGCTCTTCAGCATCCGTGAGATGCAGCCGTTGGAGTCTTCACCTGCAACGAGGGGCTCAGCTTTCAGAGCTTCGCGTAACCGTCATGGATGTGCGCCAGTTTCTGGGTGCCTCATGCCGGATCCGAAAGCGCAGGGCACGTCTATTCTGAGCCGAAGGAGCGCGTTTAAGGGTGCCATAAAGAGGGGCCAGCCTTCGAGGCCCCTCGGTGCCCCCAGAGCCTTTGGACAAGTGGCGGGAAAGGTGCCGTCAGAATTCACCTGCGTGCAACACGCGGGCTCTGAGAAAAGGTTCGGGGGCCGGCTGCTCTCGTGTTCTGCTGGCTGGCAGCTCCCATGGGGGCAAGCGATCTGGGACCGTCCGGGCCCCACGGCCCGCACACACCCAGAGAAATCCCTTGTCTTTTTTCCACACAAGGGCGAGGTACGCAGGAGGAAGGAAGCGGCCACAACGCAACTGCGACCTGCGCTCGCTGCAACTCCGGAACACCCTCAGGGGACACAGCACAGCCTTCCCCAAGCTGGCGCCCCCGGCTGTGCCAACTGGGGCGCCCCCCAGCCCAGCCGAGGGACACTGGGAGAGCAGCCGTGCGTTGCCACCCGCGGCACGTGCACCCAGCCCATCCGGGGGTCCTTTCCGCCAGAACACCCCAGACGTCCCGAGACCGGTTCTGTTGTGGCACTTTCGTGCGCGCGGCCTGATCCGGCAGGGCTTCCCTGAGGCTCCTCTGGCTTTCCCCTGCTGTGTGTGCACTCGACTTGTCCCGCTGTTCTGGGGCCCGAGGAGTGGGGCGCTGGGCCACACCATGGGCGGGGGGAACCTGTCAGGGCTCTATGGAAACTCAGAGATCCTTCGGTTGCCTTCCTGCACCCCCCCGCCGCCCCCATGGCTTCTCTTGTTCTCAGATGTGCAAATAGCGCCCCCCCCCCGAAAAATAAAGCGTGGGGCCTCTGAACCCTGCCTTGCGCCTTGGTCCTGTCACTGGCTGGAATGTGTCTGTGCAGAAGCAACCCGGATTATCTCAATGGCCTTACTTGCACTGACCAAATCGCACTGACTTACAGAATCACAGGCTCGAGGGATGGCAGAGTGGGAAGGGGCCGTGAAGGCCATCTAGCCCATCCCGCCGCTGGTGCAGGACCCCAAGTCACCCCACCCCACTCGGAGGGCTGCCTGGTTTCTTGGAGGGCATAAACCCCCGGGGAGCCCCACATGGGCGGGGCTGCCGGCCCCTGCTGGCTTCGGGGCGACGGAACGGAATGGGGGTGCTGCTCCCCCCGAACTCGCCCCATGGAGACGGGGGGGCAGGAAGAGGCGCCGTTCTCCTCGCCGGGAGTGTTGGGGGGGGCGGGAGGAGCCGCCCCCCTTGAGAAAGCGCCTCGGCTCTCCCACGCCCCCCCACCCGCGGCCGCGCCCCGCCGGGGGGAGCGCCGTTCTCCCCGGCGGGGGGCTTCCCGCGGCCCTTTGCCCCCCCGCCCCCCCCCCCCCCCCGCGGGGCTCGCTGCGCAGCGCCCGACCCGGCAGGGCCCCCCCGCCACGCCGCGCCGCGCCCCGCCTGGATGCCGGCAGCGGCGCGCGCTGGCGGAGGCTCGGCTGCGCGCGATCCTCCTGCGTGGGCGCGGCGCGGCGCCTTTCCCGAGGACCGGCCGAAGCGCCCCGGGGCTTGTCGCGCAGGGGGCAGGCCGCCCCCGCGCACCCCAAGGCCGCGAAAGGCGTCCCGGGCGGGGGGGCGCGGGGCGGGCGAGGCGCCGCTCCCGCCTGGGCGCCCCCCCATGAAGCGAGGGGGGCTGCGGGCGCGGGCCGAAGCGCACGGTTGGCCCCCCTTGCCTGGCTGGAAAAGGGGCCGGGCGCCAGTGGCGGGGGAACATGGGCTGGGGCGGAGGGAGCTGCGGAGAGGATGCCGGCCCGACGGGCTCGGGGAGGGGTCGCGAGGGGCGCAGGGCAGCCTCTCCAGCCCCTCCCTCCAATGGCTTTCCGAAAGCAGGGACCCCCCCGCCACATCAGAGGTGGGGAGACCCCGCTCACCTGCCGCTTCCCGCCTGGGCTTCCAGCCACCTGGTAGCTACCTATATTCTAGGGCACGCCCCCTGCTTTCAGCCCCTCCCACCACGGAAATGCGGCAATTCCGAAGTTGACCCAGGCCCTTGGGGAGGAGGAGGCTGTGCCCCCCTAAGTGAACCTTGTCGCGGGAACGGCTTCTGAGGGGCTCGGGTGGGTGGGCTCGTTACCCCGTGCCCCTGCGGCCCAGATCCACCTGTGGGCCATCCTGGGCCCTTGCAAGAGCCCCGTCGCTCTGCTGGATCCGGTTCAGGTGAAGCGAGGAAAAGACCCTCCAGCGGGCCAGCTCTTCCACTCGGGGCAAAAACGCAGGACATGGCACGCAAGAACTTTGAACCCCATTTATCTCAGGCAAAATATCAGCATCGTTATGAGTGGCCAAAGCCATAAAAGTGACAGTACAATTTTCCAGTCAAAAAACACATTTCAAACAGGAGTATTTCCGATGCGGCCCTTTTAAGCACAGAAATATATAATATGACATGTATTCTATTGTTTCCCCTTACCATGGGGAATGCGACGCGGCCATCGCATTCATTTTTCAGGCACAAAAAAATGAGATTTTGGGGGAGGGTGGAACCCACATTCAGTATAGAGGGATTCACATAGAGGTGAATGGCTTTCCATCCTTCAAAACCTGGTTGTTGGTTTTCAGCAAAATGTTTGTTTCTTTCAGTAGCGAACCTGAGTTCTGAGGCTGTGAGGCACAGCTAATTTCAAACCCAACCAAGAAAACCACAGTGTACAGTTAATTTCTAATTCTGCCTGTGTGTTTGCCTGGGGGGATGGGGCGCCCTCCCCTCGCCCCAGGCATGTCTACCTGAAATGTAAATAAAGCCCCCCAAGCTGGCAGAGGCATGACGGCACGGGGGAGCCCGTGACAGATCTGGGGGTGAAGCAGCTCCCCCGAGTCTCTCCTCCCGCGACCGTGGGCCAGAGCGGCCCCCCCGCAGCGGGAGCGACTCCCTTTGGATGCGCTTCCTGCGCTTCCGGGGCAGTTCAAGGCTCGTCCCAAATTCAGAGGAAGTTGGGCAGCAGAGAAGAAAGGATTTGGGGTGCGGGTGCAACACACACGGTTCGGACGTGGCGTTAAATAAATGCTTCTATACAATGTACAAAGACGCAAACAGTCTCTTCTGAAGAACCCGTATTCCCCTGGGAATTTCTTCCGTCAAGGTGACGCAGAGCGACCTGGCGAGCATCTTCTCCCGGAACCGGGCGCTCGGGCCCTTGGAGCGCGAGGGGCTCTCGGACCCACCATCCTCTGCCTTATCCTGAGAACGGGGGTGGGGGGGTCTACGAGCCCCCTCGCCTCCGAACCCCTCCGACTTCCCACCGGCCTCGGGAGGTGCCCTCCGAGGAAGCATCTCGCAGGCCGGCAGCCGTTTCCTCCGACGGGCGCCCGGTGCAGGTTCGGGAGCCCCGCTCGGTCGAGGCCGCCCGTCGTCGGGCTTCCCTGCCCAGGCCCGGCCTCGTTCCGCAGCCGCCTCCGTTGTTCTCAGAAGACACACACGACAGATGCGAAGACGGGGGCGTTGGGTGGCGGGGTGGGCAGGACGCGGGGCGCGGGCCGGCGTCACTCGAAGGAGACCCTCGCCAGCTTGGCGCGCACCTTGGCCTGGTCGACGGCGTCCAGCAGGTTCTTGGCGTCCACGGCCAGCGAGTGCGAGGCCGCCAGCATCTGCCGCTTGCACTCCTCGCTCAGCGACGTGGCCACGTTCTGCTGCGCCAGGCGCATCTTGTTGATCAGCTCGGCCAGGTCCTTGTTCAGGAGCCTCTGCGTCCCCTCGATCTGCCAAAGGGACACACGGACGGGGAGCGGGTTAGCGTGGGGAAAGCGTGGGGCAGGTCCTCTCCAGCCGAGGCGGATGGCTCTGCTGCAGGGAGAGACTTGCCATCGTTCTCTGGGATTAGAAGTTCACGCAGCTCACCCGGGAACGGGCTCAAGCGAAGGCTCCTCTCCCCTCCCCTCCCGAGGCCTCTCCCAGCCCCGCTGCCTCCCCAGGTGGGCCACTCCTGCCCGGGAGAGGTTGCCCGACTGGCCAGCAAGAGACCTGGCTCCCTCTGGCCGCTCCGCTGGGCGTCTTCCGGGAAGGAACTTTTTCGCGCTCCCCAACCCACGAGTGGAGACAACGCTTCCTGGGGCAGCTCCGCCAAGGGCCAGACGCGTGTGCTTTGCCAGCCCGCCTCCTCCCCCCCATGGGGAAGGGTGTGGGGCTGGCAAGGGTTTAGCCGCACGCACGCTGGCCTTCTCCAGGGCGGGCAGCCCGCTGGTGGAGGCGCTGCTGGGGCCACGCGTGCCGCGAGCGGGCAGGTGTGATTCTGGGCCGTGGCCTGTGCCCCGGACAGCGGGCTAGACCTGCCCCGGCCGGGGCCAGACACCCCATCCTGAGCGGAGGGCGAGGATGGGGCTGGGCGTCTGCCCCCATGCTGGGGCACCCCCGCCGGGAGCCCTCTGCACGGATCAGCATCCACAGGCACCCAAAAGGGGGGGGGCTGAGAGGAATGCGCCACCTCGGCCTTCCCGGTGGGTCGTGCCACGGAGCCACTCCAGCAGCGCGGAACGGCCAGGCCCTCCGGCGATGTCTCTGTGGGCTCAGGGGGTCCCGCCGCTGAGCGAGACTCACCTCGGTGCGCGAGGATCCCGGAAGAGCCGGAAGGACGTCGTCCACACTCCCAATGAGCTTCCGGAGGGAGAGACCCACGTCCTGCGAGGAGACGGGGCCCCAGGTCAGGTGCCAGCCGCCCCTGCCGGAGCCCCCACCCAGCCCAGCACTCGCCTGGACCAGCCGTCCACCCTAAGCGACACTACCCCCCACAAGGTGTGTGGCCACCCCCCACTCGGGCGGCTCCACAAGCGCTGGCAAGCAGTGGCCCCTGGTCCCGACGACTCCGGCCTGCCCCCGGGACCGGCTGCTGGGGGGCACGGGCAGGAGCATCCAGCGGGGGGGGGGCATTCCGTGGGCAGCCAGCCGACCCCAATGGGATCAGAGTGCTACGAGAGGGGGCTGCGTCGGACCCCGCCGGGCACCTCTCACGTTGGGGGCTTTTGCGGAGGACGTGCTCGCGTCCTCACGCTGAGACTGGCCCGGGCCAGGCAGGCGGCTCGACCCGCCCCCCCCCCCCCCCCCCCCCCCCGGCCCCCCCCCCCCCCCCGGGAGACCTGCTGGCACCGCGGTGCCCCTTCGGAGGCGAGCCATGCCGCGGTACCTTGACGGCCAGGATGTACCGCTCGGGCGGGTGGTTGCTGACTTCGTTCTTGAGCTGCAGGACCGCCTTCACCAGGTCCATGACGTTGCTGTACACCGCGTCGTCCGTCCGGTCCAGGTTGGCCGTGGGGGTGGGCTGAAGCGACATCTGGAAGGGGACACGCCGTGGGCGGAGGGCCGCCGCTGCAGCCCCCCCCGGCACTCTGGGCCTCGAGGGGCTCCGCAGGGCAACCCCGTCCTGCTCCCCCGCTTTCTGTATTTAGCAGCTGATCCGCAGCACGGCACGGCTCCTGAGCAAGCTCGCTCTGACACCTGCAGGCCTTCTGGGGTCCCCTTGGAGCCCCAAGGCCGAGCCCACCCTTCTTTTGCTCAGTGGCCCAGGTTCAGCCTCATTCCTGCCGGCACGTGCCCCTCCGTGCACGATCAGAGCTAGCAGCCCCAGCACGGGCCGCACACGATGGCATGCTGCTTCCTGCAAGGAAATGCCCTGCACTGAGAAAGCTAGCGCCTCAGGGAGAAGGGTTCCTGTCCAGCCTTCACTGGACAGGCCCCTTGCTTGGCCAAAAAGCAGGACTTCATCCTGGGTCCCCCTCTGGGGTCTGAAGCGGTACACTCCAGGCAGAGATGGAGTACCCCAGCTAAAGTGAGCCCGTCACACTGGTCTCGGGACCTGCAGGTTCAAATTCCTTCTTGGCCACAAAGCTCACTTGCGGGTGGGAACAGATCCTCTGCCTCCTGGCTCACCAGCCTGTCGCCTGGATGCATGTGCAGCTTACATGCCAGCCTCACAGCCTGCGAGCGCGACGTGCCGTGGCCAGCTCCCTCCCGTGCCACAGGAAGGCCCCTGGACTGGACCTTTCCTGAGAGGAACCGCCGATGGGGCGGGGAGTGTCGCCTTCCTTCTCTCCGTCTTAATTTCCATCCCTCTCAAGTGCTGAGGACTCCCCCATTCTTAAGACTGGTTTTTAAGACTCTCTTCCCAGCGTTCGTACAAACACTCATGAACGGTTTTGCGCAAATGTCCCGCAAGGGCTGCATTTTCGCATCAGACGCCCACTTTGCAAGGCGCCTCAGGAACACCGACTGCCGGCACATCCCACTGCTGACTGGCATTTCCTCTATTACCGGCCTGCGATGTTTGGGAACCTCGCTCACATGCTTTGGGGAAGTGCCAACGTCGAAAAATAACTGAGTTTCGGTTCACATACTGGTTCCAAAGTGCAACATTAGGCAGATCCTCATTAAAATGCCAGCCTGGCAAATTTCCCCCATCCTGGGCCACAAGTGCTGCCCATCCGGCGTGTGAGCAGGACAAGTCCCTGGCTGTTTTGAGTGGGTGGGTTGTTACCGAAATCTGTTCTGTGTCTGCAGCAGTGACTAAAGCAATTTTTCTTCCTTTCTTTCTTTTTTTTAAAGAGCCAAACTTTCAGCAAACTTGGCTGCGTCACACCCACCACGCAACGGCCCCAGGGCTCTGCTCCTGACAGGCGGGACAAGTCCCTGGTTGGTTTGAGTGGGTGGGTTGTTACCGAAATCTGTTCTGTGTCTGCAGCAGTGACTAAAGCAATTTTTCTTCCCTTCTTTTCTTTAAAGAGCCAAACTTTCAGCAAACTTGGCTGCCTCACACCCACCACGCAACGGCCCCAGGGCTCTGCCCCTGACAGGCAGGCGGCCGGCCGTCTCCTTGAGCACCAGCTGACCTGGACACGGCTGGCGTGCAGCTGGATGGAGGCCAGTGCAAAGGCACCACCTTCTCTGCCAGGCGGCCTGGGGTCTTCCTCGCGGAGCCCCCGAGATGCCGCTGCACCGGGGAGTGGAAGACGCCTGGGCCAGCCCGCCAAAGGGGGGGGCCCACCCCAGGTGCTTTTTTAAGAGAAGGAAGAGGGGGCCCGAGCTCCGCAAAGGCAGGCACAGATGGGTGCAGGACCCCCAATGTGAAGGCAGTTCACCTCCCCCGCTCGCTTCGGCTCCCAGCCTTGCTGGCCCCAGGCTCCTCCTTCACCAGAGGTGGCCCTTCTGCACACCCCAGTTGCTGAGGGGCTGGGCAGAGGAGGCCTTGCACCCATCCTGCCGCAGGGATCCTGTGGGTAGCTCATGGCTGGCTGGCTGGCTGGCTGGCTGGCTGGCTGGCTTGCTTGCTTGCTTGATTTCAAATGTTTTTATACCATCCCATCACAGATGCCTCGGGATGGTTTACTATCACATTGATAAAATAGAATAAAAATCAAAGGGCAAAAATATCACAGCATCCGGTATCCAGTATTTAATTTGTGGTAAACCACAAATTAAAACCATTTAACAATTAAAATATTGGGAGAATAGAAAGGTTTTTGCCTGGCGCTGAAAGGAGAAAAGCGTTGGTGCCAGGCGAACCTCTCTGGGGAGCGTGATCCACAGTTGGGGTGCCACCACAGAGAAGGCCCTCCTCCGGACAGACACCCTCCCGGTCTCTTTCAAGGAGGGCTCCTGGAGGAGGGCCTCCGACTCGGATCTCAGGGTTTGCCACCGTGTGCACGGAGTGCTGGACTGGATGGCCTTGGGTCTGGTCCCGCAGGGCTGTTACGAATGTTGGGATCGCAGGATCACAGAGCGACAGGGCCACCGGGTCAGCCCTCTGAGCACTGCGGGGCCGGTTGCGCAACGGTGCTCCAACGCTTCCTGGCCCACTGCTAGCGTGAACCGGCACGAAGCGTGTACCCATCCCGAGGACAGGTTCGGGGGCAACAGGGGAGCAGCAGCTACATACCTGAGGCCCAAGTCGGGGGGGCTTCTTGGGTGGTCCTGTAAACTCAGCTAAGCCGTCAGTAAAAGGAAAAGGGACATCGTTACCACTCCAGCAACAGTGCAGTAAAATGGGTGGAAATGTTCTTTAAAAACAGCTGGGTAGATTCAACCAGCCAACAGGTGTCAGCCTGTGTCTTTAATGTTGCACCTTGCAAGAACTCGGGCACCACTCGGCCTTCACGGCACGGAAGGAAACGCCAAGTTCTCACGTGCAAAATACGTGCAGTTGTGACAGACGGGAAGGGTGACCGGAGCGTGTGCCCTGCGCACAGATGATCCGGGGGAAATACTTACTGTAACCAGACTCCTTCTCAGGGAGTTTCTGAAAAGAAAAAGGGAAACGCAATGAACCTTGTACTTTGCACACCTCTGGCCTAATCCTGTGCACATTTACGCAGAAGTAAGACCCAGCATAATTCTTGGGCCTGACTCCCTAGTAACTCTGCACAGAATCGCCACCTCAATGCGAGAGGAGCTAGCCGGACTTGCGCAGAAGAGAAGAGGCGGAGGACGCAGCTGGCATGTGTCCTTTATACGAGAGGCAGTGCGTTCGCAAACACAGCGGCCTCCTTTCCCAGAACGTGGGGGCCACAGAAATCATGGGGGCTTGAAGCCTGAGAAAAGGGGCAAAGAAAGCCAAGCGACAGGGCAGGGTGCCAGCACAAGGAGCAGCCGAGGAGAACAGCAGAATCGCACTAGCACCCATCCTCGGGGGTGCGAAGGAAAGAGGGCAGCCAAGAGACGGGCGTGGGGGGTGGCGTGGCTGTGGGAACCACGCGGTCCCGACGATGCCAGTGGGATTGGCGAGGAAGGCTTGTGGAAAGCGAGGGCCTGGGGGCCTCCGCTGGAATTTAGGCTCTGGCCGTCTGCCCCGTCAGCAGTTCATCAAAGGTGCTGAAACGAATGGGAAGGAACAGAGCCAGGTTCTCTGGGGCCGGAAGGACAAACAAGAAGCGTCACGATGTCCTCGATTCCTGAATCCTGACGAGGTGGCAAGCGCCGGGCAGAGCAGTGGATGGCCTTTGCCACGTCGCTGAACAATGAAGTGCCGCGTCCTTCTGCTCTGGCACCCAAGGACAGTGCCCGCCCGCTGCCAGGCTGGGTGCAAGAGGGGTAGATACCGAGTGCCCCGGAAGTGCTTCCCGGTCATGCAAGTGCTGGGATCAGGGGGTTTGCATCCCAGGGGTTGCAAGGCGAGGCAGCGATACTGCAAAGCTCGCCATTCCCTAATTTGGAAAGCAAGCTTGTCTGGCTCGCGCTCGGATGTATTACAAACGGAGTGACATCATCTAGGGACACGGTAAGGCAGGGGTCAGCAAGGCCAGCCGAGGGGGAACCCGCGGAAAGGACACGCTTTCCCAGCTGCCACAGCAGCCCTCGCGAAGCCTGGAGGGAGCCTCCAGATCGAGCCAAGAGGAGCTTCAGGGCTGGGGTGAGACGGGATGGCGGCCACGGTACGCGTCTCCTGATGCAAAGGTGCATCTCCGAGTGAGTTTTTGGGACAATTCCCAGACACAGGTAACACGGCCACCTGCCGCACCATTTTTTCCAGGAGTGGGTCACCTCTCTTGGCGCGTGACACACACCATGATCGGTCAATCAGGGTCGGAAGCCCTCTGTGGTATGAAGGAGGACGGAGCTCCACTTGGGCCGAAGACGGAAACAAACATGGACGCATCGGAAGCCCAGCTGGGTCGCCTCAGCTCTTCCCACTGCGAAAGCAGCTGTGTGTGTGTGGGGGGGGGGGGGGGGGGGCCCCCCCCCCAAGCTGTTTCTCAAATCTACGTCCTCTGCCTCGTGCACCTGGTAGTGCAAAAATGGCACAGGTGTGGCCAAAGGCCCCTGGATTTTTTCCCCAAGGTGCTCACAGCAGGCGGCAGGAAATGAACTTCAGGGGCGGTGGGACAGTGCCCCGGATGCAGCCACACCTTGTGGCTACTCCGGAGAGACACGGGCAAGCCGCGGGAGCCACCTGGCCAGTCCCCCTTCGGTCTGCTTGGCTATCTACTGCGAAGATTGTTCTCGCTTTCCGGAGTTGCCAAGGAGACAGGAAGGCTGAAAGTCAGAAAGCGAGCAGCACAGGGCCGTGATGCTGGGGGCGGGGGGGGGGCATCTGGGGAGACTTACTGGGGAGGAGTAATTGCTGTTCACAGCGGCCATGGGGTCCTGTGGTGGAGAAGAGGGGCAGCCGTCAGCAGGCACGATAACCAGGCCCGGAGTGAGCGCGGGGCAGACTCTCGAGTCCGCCGACACCCGTGTTTGCGCCTGTCCGCTTCCAGATTTCCCCGGGGTGGCTTTGGCGAAGGCCCCCGCGGGGAGAAGGCTGCGAATCACGGGGTCGGGGGCCGAGGACGGGGGCTCCGCCGCTCGGCACCCAGGCTCCACACTGAAGGGGGCTGCCGACGGTCGGAGGGCGCGAGCCGGTGAGGGTGCGCGCCACGCAGCCTCGCTTCCCGGGACCGCGGGCCTCCGGGCCCTCTCCCCGCGGGGCCTCCGCTTGCCCCGCAACCCTCCCCAAAGGGCGGCCCCCGCCTCCGCCTGCGGGACGGGGCCGCGGGGGCCACGGGGCGCCTGCGCCCGGCACTCACCAGCGCCCTCTCCTCCTGCCGCAGCCACTGGTAGTCCTCCGCCATCTGCTTCTGCTGCTTCTCCAGCAGCTGCTGCATCTTGGCGCGCTCCGTCTCCCACAGCCGCTGGGCCTCCTCGCGGCTGCTGGGCCGAAGGAAGTCCTCCTCCTGGCGGGGAAGGCAGGCGCTGAGCGGAAGGCCTGGGGCGGGCCCCCCAACCCGGCCCCGGGGCGCTCGCGCTTTGCGCGGATTAGCCTGCGAGCGGAGCTGCCTCGCTGGGGGCGCGGGAGGCGCTGGGGCGGGCGACGTGCCCGGCCTCCTGGGGGCACTGAGCTGACCCTGTGCAGTGCCCCCTGTGCCCCCACGGAGAGCTGACTGCCCCTCTTAAATGGCTCAGACGCCGCAGCGGGTGCCGGATGGAGCAGCTGGCCAGGCGTGCATGGAGCTGCACAGAGGCCGCTCCACTGGCCAGCGAGCGAGGAGACAGCCTGGCCTGCTGCCAGCTGATCAAGCCGAGGAGCCTGGGACAGGCCCCCTGCCGGGCCGCTTTGCCAGGACAGACGGGGCAAGCGTCCAGATCGCTGCGGGGGCCCTGCTGGTTGGCCACGAGGCGCAGAGTAATGTCTGGCGGCAGCCTGGAGCAGGGCCTCCTTCATGGTGGAATCCCCTCCCCACCAGAGATTGCGAGAGGCAAACGTCCCTTCCCGAGGTCTACCCCGCAGGAGAGTGCAGTCCCATTCACTTAATTATGGTCCTGCATTGGTTTTAATTTGACTTAATCTTTCCATTCATGTCTTATACAGATGCTTCCGCAATTATTCTGCTTTTCGGTGGCATTTTAATATGTATCATTAACACATTTAGTTTTCTTGTCAACTGCTCAGAGCTATTTTTAAATAGGGCTGGTGCCGCATCACTCGATTTATATGCATGTACGCATTTGTATATGCTTTCCACTCGGGCCCCTCAGTTGAGCTCTAGAACTTTCCAGGCACCCCCACTTATGGTCCCACAGGTCACTGCTGGCAGGGGAGGATGGGTGTTGCAGTCCAGCCCATCTGGAGGGCATCCGGGAAGTCTCGACAAGACATTCCCAGGAAGAGGGGCGTGGGAGGGCGGGCGTGGGGCGTCCCCCACGGAGGAAGTGACGGGGCCACGGACGAACGAGGGTGGAGGCAGGCCGGGGTGGCCTGCCGTGGACACACGCCACGGATCCCAATCGGTGGAGAGTCCGTCCTGCGCCGGCGGATTCCGCGCTTGCGCTTCTCGCTGGCAGGAGGAGCAGGCACCTCGCAAGAGGCTGCATTTTCTCACTAATTCCTGGCATTCCTCGAATGGGTTTGTCGAAGGAATTCCCCCAGGGCTAAGCAGAGGGATCCGGGGCCCCTTCGCAAGGGAGCGAGCCGCTCGGCCAGCCTGCAGGCGATCGAGCGGGGAGCGCCCGGCCCCGGCAATGTGACCGGAAATGCACCGGGCGCGACGGGGGCTCCTCCACTTCTCGGTGCTCAACTGGCTTTCCCTGCGGCATTGCTTCCTGCTGGGGGTGAACCCCCCCCACCCCATTCCAGGGCTGGGGGTCCTCGCCTCTCCCTGGAGCCTTTTCCAGGGCTCCTGCGAGCGCTGGGAAGGTGGCCACATCCCTGGGCAAGGAGGCCCGGCAGAAGGGGGCTGAACTGGCTCACGCAACAGCGCTTGTCCAGGCATAAGGTTAGGGTTACCTGAAGGAGCGCCTACATCCGTATATGCCCGCCCGCCCCCTGAGATCGGCGGGAGAGGCCCTTCTCCGGGAGCCCTCCGTGAAAGAAATTAGGAGGGTGGCTACTCGGAGGAGGGCTTTCTCTGTGGTGGCGCCCCATCTATGGAATGCGCTCCCCAGAGAGGTCCACCTGGCGCCGTCGTTATTTGTTTTTCGGCGCCAGGCAAAGACCTTTTTATTTAAGCGTCATTTTAATTGTTAACAGTATTTGCTTATTTACCTGGCCGGGGCAACTTCTTTTATATTGTTATTTATTTTATATTGTTATTTTATATTTTATATTGTTATTATAGTAATTTTTATTATGTTGTAAGCCTCCCCGAGGCTTCGGCGAATGGGGTGGCATATAAATATTTTAATAAATAAATAAAGGTGGCCATCTGTGCCCCCCCCCCCCACCGGGGATGAAGGCTCGGGCTCGCCGCGCCCGGCCACGCACAGAGCCTGCAAGCACCTGGCGCAACAAACAGGGCTGCCGGCGAGGCGAGGCGGGCAGGGCAGGGCAGGGCAGGGCAGGGCAGGGCAGGGCAGGGCAGGGCAGGGGGCCCAGCGGCAACGGACCGTGGCGCTCGGCCACGCAAGCAGCTTGCGGGGGGGGGGGGCACTGGCAGAAGCAGCAGATTGAACACAGAGCCTGTCCGCACACACCTGCCCCGCCTGGGGGCAGAACTGCATGAATTGAGCCGCCCGAAGTGCCCCCGGCCTCCCCCACCCCTGCTCTGCGGAAGCGTGCAGGGCCGGGGACCCCGAACCACTAAGCGCGGGGGAGGCAGCGGAGCGCTGCCGGGGGTGCCCCCGCCCCTGGGGGGCGAGGGAAGTGGCCTGCCCCCGCTTGCTCTCCTGCCCCTCCCCCGGCCTCCCCCGGGGGCCTGCGCCTGGGTCCAGCCCTGGGGGGGCCAAGCCCCCCACCCGCCGCGTCTTACCCTCATGCTGTGGCGCTTGAAGACGTTGTGCCTGTTGAGCGGCGGGGTGTGCAGGGAGCTGGCGGGAGACGGGTACTCGATGGGGCTGGTGAGCGTGGGCGAGCTGGCACACAGACCCTCGGGCACCTGGGGGCGAAGCAGAAGGCGGCGGGCACAAACCGGGGTGGGCAGGCGGCAGGCGGACCGGGCAGCACACACGCTCCGGGGAGCGGGGGGACAGGGACGCTTGTGCGGAGACGAGACGAGACGAGACGGGAGAGCCTGCGCAGCCAGCCCCCACCTCCCTCGCCCGGCACGGGGTCCCCAGGCCCCTTTCTTTCAATGGGCAGCGGACCCTGCGTGGGAGCGGGCGCACGGTCCTCCCTCTCGGCAAAGGGCGGGCGACGGGGCGCGGGGGGCAGCCTCTCGTGGGCCCCGCCGGGAACGTGGCTGCCTGCAGTCCCAGCCTAGCCCCGGAAGGGCCGTGTTACCGCTCCAGAAGGGACTGTCCACCCCGAGCGCCTCTGGAAGCGTCAGGCCTGGTGCGAAGCCAGAGGGGTCTGGGTTTCTCACTGGGCCGGGGTCAGAAATTTGGGGTCCCCCAGCTGTCGACTGTGGGCCTCTGGAGTGGACGGCGCCCCCGCCTGGTGTTCAGGGACCAACAAGGGGCCCCCCGAACAGTCCAACTGGGAGAGTGGAGAGGGTCCTGGCAAGGGTCCCAGCTCAGCTGGCCGGGCAGCGACCCAGCTGCGGGCACTCAAGGGGCGGCCGCTGGAAGGGAAGCGGCCGGACGTCAGGCGCCTTCATGTGCGGTCGAGTCAGGAGCACAGCGAGGCGACACAAGCCGGGCGCCAGAGCTCCCGCCGACAAAGCACCGTTTCCCCGGCAGCGACATTTCCACCGCTGAACTGGGAGCGCCAAGGACCGGGGGCAGCGTGGAAGCAATTTACTGCTACGCGTTTTATAGATGGGCCGTCTGTTTGTGCAAAACGAAGCAAATGTGCATACTGTAGTTGTACAAACCACACTTCTGTGTGAAAAAAGCCACAGCAGTACATTATTTCAATGCTGCTCCGAAGTCCAGGTTTTGAGAACAGTTTTTTCGTTTCTTGGCCAAAGGCAGGAGAGGGCAGGATGATCCGGGTGCCGTCTCCACCCTGGTCTAATGCAGGATGCCGGGGAGGCAGCTCCAGTAACGCACAGGGCTGGCTGCACTGGTGGTGCTGGGAGCCAGCCAGGGAAGCTGCTGCAAGAGTTTGCATGCTCAAAAAACGTTCAAATGTGCAAGGTCTTTACACAAGAATGCACGTGGGGAAGCCTGGCTTGTGCCGACGGCTTGGTGAGGCCTCCGTGGCTGCTGCAGGAAGCCATGTTTTGGCACCAGCAGAAGGCGCACGTTCAGACAGAAAAATGACTCGCAACTCTGGCACCAGACTTCACCTGTCCAGGAAGTATGATTCAGGGATGCTGGTGATGGAGAGAGATTTCCCATTGTCACAAGGCCATTATGAATGGGTTTTTTGGTACCCAGGCCCGACAAAACTGTCTTCAGCTTGCCAGTCTGACTCCCAAGATAAAAAGTGCCTTCTGGGACAATAAGCATGGAACTGAAGCTCAGGTCAGAGGAGAGCTGGGAAAGGGGCACCAGAGGTTGGCCAGGAGGCGCCGTCTGCCTGCGGATCCCCACAAGGACGCTGCCGAAGGCGTGCTGAACATCAGGTGCATGCACATACGTGGAAACACTCATTGCAGACGTGGTGTGTGAGTGGGGAGGAAACGCCAACACACAACAGGCTAATGTGGATGGGGCATGTGCAGGCGAGGTTGATGGGATAGGATATCCTGGGAAAGGGCGGGGCTGGCTGGACAGGCACTGGGACGGACAAAGCACGAAGATCCTGCAGTTTCGAAGCAAGGAAGAGCACGGACGGAGGAGTTCACACAGGGCTTCTCTCCATGAGACATTTACCCCTCCGGTTTCCCGAGATTCTGGATTCCTTGCAAAATTGAGCTCAGCCGCTGCACCCACGCTTTTCCCCAGGGATTTTCTTTCCCTGCCACTTTGCACGCTCCGTCGCTGGAGCCCAGGATCAGACTAGATGGCCCGGGAGACCCCTTCCGACTCACTCTGTTTCTCCGTTTCTATAACCACAATTCTAGTGCTACAGAATTGCAAATTTATGCAAGTTTCTCCTGGTGCGATTTCTGAATAAAACCACACCATCCTTACTTTTAAAAAGGACAAATAACAGCCTGGGAATGGGTGCAAAGCCTGGGAGAAGCCCTGGAAGTCTGCATGAAGCAGCGGCCAACAGCTGTGACCGAGGAACTGCGAGCAGACGATGGACGATGCACGTCCCGTGTGGGAAGCCTGCGGAAGCGGTTAACCGGTTGCAGAAACACGGAGAAGCACGAGGCACTGGGACCAGCTCCAGTGGAGCGGCAACCCCCAACCACGGGCGCCTGAAAGTGCGGCCTAGCTGCCACAGCGGCCCTCGGAACGTACCTGGAACTGCAGTTTGGGTGCCAGCAGGTTGGTCTGAGCGGGCGGCTTGTACTTCGGTCGGCTGGGCTGAAAAGAGGGCGAGGGAGGCCTGAGTGGGCAGAGGGCCAGGGCAGGGGTTACGTGCCAGGACCCCGCCTTCGACTCTTTCGGGGTCTCCCCACCATCGCCGTTTTATGCAGATCGCAAAATAGCATCTCCATCCATCTGAACATGGGTCTGTGTGCAGACGCACACGCAACTCCCGCATTGCGTAGCTACACAACTGCACTGGAGAAAAGGTCCCCCAGCGCTTTCAGTGTGAGCAGGAATATTCTCCGTCTTGAACTGGGAAACCACCGGTGTGCGGGACAAAACGAGGCGCGGACAAGCGTCCCGCTTCAAGCCCGGGATCACGGGCAACTCGGCATCGCCGGACTGTGCTGGCTTCCCGTCATGAGTCCTCAGAACCCCAGAAGGGCCGTGCTGGATCAGGCCCCAAGCTGCATCCAGCGCAGCATCTTGCTCTGACCCGGTGGTCACGGGGCACCCACTAGCAAGGTGGGGGGCCAGCACCCCCAGCCCACGTTCCCCGGCCACTGGCATCCCACGCCTTCCCATTTGAGCTATTCTGCCAAAACATGAGCTTTTAGTTTGGAGAGCAGGAGATGCAGGAAATTGGGGTTGCAAAGGGTGCTGTTGACGAGTCGGAAACGGAAGCCGGGTCAGTTCCCGGAGTGCGTGGGCCAGGATTCCTTGCAGCCCACCAGGCCAAGGCAAGGGCGCGTTTCGGAAGGGGCAGCTCCCTTCTGCTCTCCTTTGGCATCACACCAAAAAGGAGACCGGATCGATTCTAGGGCGACATGAACGCTGCACAGCCCTGCGGCTAATACAGTGGATAAAAATCTAATTAATAAATAGATTTGCTTTCCAGGAAGCCTGTGGTGACGGCTCAGGAAGTCCCGCAGGAGGCAGGGCCTGCATTTTTAAGCTTCGCAAAAGTTCCTTTTGCGGTTCCTGAGGCCCAGCGCCTGCTGACCAGTGGCCTCGTCTCCTCCTTGTCCACAGGGCCCAGCCTGGGGCCCTCCAAATGCTGGACTACAACTCCCAGCATCCCTGGGCTGGAGATGGCTGACCTGGGAATACCCGTGGGACGACACGGCATTTCCTGGCAGGGTGTCCCGGGCCCCACCAGGGGTTTGTGGGGCAAGTTCTACCCACCTTTGGAGGGGGCTCTTGGTAAGAGGGGGGCTCCATGATCTTGGGGGGCCGGTGGCGGCTGTTCCTCTCTTGCTCCCGGGCGATCTCTTTCTCCATCTGGTAAATGTCGCTGCAGCCCAAAGGGGGAGGAGGGAGGAGTGAAGGGAAGGGCAAAGACCGGCCGTGCACAGAGCCCCGGCTGCTGCTGACGGGGACCTCCGCGGGGCGTTTTTTGGGGCCCGGTCCAGGCCCTGCAGTCCAGAGGGGATAGGCCCTGACTACCCTGGTTCTTCCTGTTTGTTTTGCTACCGCCTCGAGTGCTGCTTCTGGGCCGCTTTCTGAGGCAGAAGCCCGACCAAGACAGAGCGCAACAAAGCGCATATAATGCACGATGGATTCCGCTACAAGGCTGCAAACCATTCCTACTGCATAAAATATTATTTTAGAGACCTACCACATGGTCGCGGCTACTCAGCACAGGAAGCTAGTAGACCAATCAAGGACCACAGGTCCCACCATCCCTGACCAGGAGCCACACTGGCTGGGGCTGGTGGGAACTGTAGTCCAACCGCTGCTCAAAAGGGGCCAGTTCCCCGGAGGGAACCAAACTGGCATTCAACCCCCTCCCCATGGGCGCAGAATCCTCCTACAGACCTCGCACCCCTGCACCGTCCAGGCAACAGGCTGGGCATAGAATTCAACTTTCTTGCATTGTCCAGCTTCACTCTGAAAACATTCACAAGTTTCTAGTCCTTAAGCCTGGGAAGGCAGGCTTGAAAACGCTTGGGCGCTGCCTGCTGGAATCCCAGCTGCCTTCCGGAGCCTGGCTGAATCCAGCTTTGAGCCCCGGGCCCAGGGCTCGGGGGCCTGCCCGACCAGCCCCTCCGCTCACGGCAAGACGCCCCCGAGTACCGGGCCCAACCGGAAGGGCTCGCCGCCGGTCCCGCCGGCACAGGGGCCGGAGGGCCCGGCAGGGCTCACCTGAGGCTGCAGACCAGCTCCTTGAACTTGGGCCTGTCGCTGGGGTCGTAGTCCCAGCAGCGCGTCATGAGGGCGTACAGGATGGGCGGGCAGGCGTCCGGCTTGGGCAGGCGGTCGCCCTTCTCCAGCACGGCGATCACGTCCTTGTTCTCCAGCCAGAAGAAGGGCTGCTTGCCGAAGCTCAGGATCTCCCACATGCAGACGGCTGCGGGGCAGCGGAAGGGGAAGGGGAAGGGGCGCGAGTGGCGGGCGTCCGGGGCACGGCGGCCGCCGGGCTGCCTCCCACCCGCCCACCCCACGGGGCTGGACTATGCCCTGGGCTCCTGGCACTGCTCCCCCGGGCATCGGCCTCCACTGCCAGCCCAAGCGGCCCCTGCAACCCTCCTCCTCCTCCACTCCATGTTATTCTCACAGCAACCCTGCGAGGTAGGCCAGGTGGAGGTCAAGGTCTGGTCAAGGTCACCCGGGGAGCTACACAGGGATGAGACCCCTTCTTATTTCGCCGTCATCTATCACATTTCTATCCCAGAGCTCCCTGGGCGTCTGACAAAGATCAGACTTCAAAAATGCAATGTTGTACATAATGATTAAACGGTTTACTGTACTTGTGTGAACAGACAGCACCCCGCCCCCGCAACAAGGTTAATGATCAGGACTAAGAAATCCCACGGCCCGATTAAAGCCTGTCCCCAGCCCAGCGCTGTGACCACTCCACCACGCTGCCAGCACTCATTTTAGAAGAGTTCTCAGGGAAGTGAAAGGTGCGGAAGTGCAGTGCCTTACGGCGTCCCGTGCCAGGGCCGTGGGCAGCACGCGGGGCTCCCCGGGGGCCCAGATGGCGGCTGACCGAGAGCCCGGCCCGCCCAACCCGTCGCGCTCACCGAACATCCACACGTCGCTGGCCGAGGTGAAGCGGCGGAAGTTGATGGACTCCGGCGCCATCCACTTGATGGGCAGGCGCGTCACGGAGGCTGCGCGGTGGGGAGGAGAGGAGAGGAGAGGAGAGGAGAGGAGGCTGTGAGTCATTCCCAGCGCCGGCCGGCTGCAAAAGCTGCCCAGACTCCCTGCGCCCTTCAACCGCCGAATCTCGCTGGAGTGCGGGGGCTGTGGCGCCCCCCAGAGCCAAGGGTGCAAGCCCAGGAAGCTGCTTGTGTCCCTCTGACCCACTGCTGGGGCGGGGGGCTCCAAAAATGCAGGCTGCGGCGGCCCGCAAGGGAAATCCGCTTGCCCTTCTCTGGCCGCTTGCGGCTGAGCTCAGCCAGAGCAGGGGAGCCGCGGGTGCGAGGCGAAGGCAGGGTGCCTGCTGGGCGGGGAGGCGCCGGTCCTCGCCCCGGACACCCGGCCACCCCGCTCGCGCTCCGGCCTGCTCCCGACAGGCACGCTCCTGCAGGCGGGCGTTTCTGGCGCCAGCTCCCTCGGACCCGCTGCCCCGGTGCGCTCCCGTGGGCCGGCATCCCCGGGCGTGCGGCGGAAGTGCCCAGGAAGACCCGCACCCCGTTCCGCCCCTGTGCAAGTGGGCAGAGCCCGTTCTCCCTTCGCCTCCTCAGGGAGGACCGCGGTGCCCCCACCCCTCAGCTGGGGGGGACGCCCCCCAAGGATTCTAGTGTGTTTTGGCAGTGCGGAATTTTCCTTCTATCCCAGTCTCCTGAAGTAGGAATCCCTGAATAGAAATGCAATGCAACAGCAAAACAGTGAAATAATGCAAGTCTGAGTCTCTCTCTCTCCTCCCCCCTCCCTGTGTGGTCAACAAAAATAAACAGTAATTCCAAATATGGCCACAAGCCCCCCAAATTAGAGAACACGAAAGCAGCCTCACAGAGGGTCTTTTACCCTCAAAGAGGGTCTACGGCCCTACACATTTTATGACCCCCCCCATCACCCTTGGCCGCAGGCTGTTGGCTGGGGCTGATGGGAGTTCTAAGTCAAACTTCTGCAGGGCTGCAAGGTGCCCAGCAGTAGTTCTGGCCACGGGTGCCTTCCCACCCGTGATCTGCACTGCGGGGGTCTTCCTTTCCAAGCCGGGTCCTCAGGAATGTGCCACACTGGAGACGTTCAAAAAAGAAACTGGACTGCCATCTGGGCGGGATGGCGTGACTTGGTGTCCTGCAACAGCAGGGGGTGGACTGGATGGCCTTCATGGCCCCTTCCAGCTCTACTGTTCTAGGATTCCATGAAGCTTCTTCAGACTGGTGGTGCCTGAATATACCCAGGACATAAGCTGCTCATAATGTGGGCAGGTGGTGGGTTAATGAGCACACATAATTAACGGTGATGAAAAATGCATCCAGGCTTGTTCTATGTACCCCCGCCCCCGCAATATTCAGCTCCTCAGTCAGACTGATTGGGGCTTGGTACATGATGGCCAACATCCAGTTTTTGGGCAAGGTGTTGGAGCGGGTGGTGGTGGGACAACCCCAAGCACTCTTGGATGAAACTGTTTATCTGGACCCATTTCAGTCTGGCTTCAGACCCCGGTATGGCACTGAATCTGCCTTGGTCGCCCTGTACGATGACCTGTGCAGGGAGAAGGACAGGGGGAGTGCGTCCCTGTTGGTTCTTCTGGACCTCTCGGCGGCTTTCGATACCATCGACCATGGTATCCTTCTGGATAGGCTAGCGGGATTGGGGGTCGGAGGCACTGCTTTGCAGTGGTTCCGCTCCTACCTTGACGTCCGATTCCAGAAGGTGGTGCTGGGGGACTGTGGCTCTGCGCCATGGCAGCTATGCCATGGAGTACCGCAGGGATCCATTTCGTCCCCTTTGCTGTTTAACGTCTACATGAAATCGCTGGGAGAGGTCATCAGGAGGTGTGGGTTGTGGAATCATCAGTACGCTGATGATACCCAGCTTTACCTCTCGTTCTCCACTAATCCAGGTGAGGCAGTGGCTGTGCTGAACCAGTGCCTGGCCGAGGTAATGGGCTGGATGAGGGCCAATAAACTGAAGCTCAGTCCAGACAAGACGGGGGTCCTGTTGGTTGGCGATTTGGGCTTCGGAGAAGGTGAATTGAATCTTGTCCTGAACGGGGTTGCACTCCCTCCTAGGGACAAGGTCCGCAGCTTGGGAGTGCTCCTCATGCCGGAGCTTTCATTGGAAGCTCAGGTGACAGCGGTGGCGAGGAGCGCTTTCCTTCAGCTTTGGCTAATTAATCAGCTGCGCCCCTACCTGGAGTACGACTGCCTGGCGACGGTGACACACGCGCTGGTGACTTCCCGCCTGGACTTCTGTAATGTGCTTTACGTGGGGCTACCCTTGAAGACGGTCCAGATACTTCAATTGGTTCAAAATAGAGCTGCCAGGTTGCTGACGGGGATGGGGCGTTATGCTCACATGACTCCAGTCCTCCGTCAGCTTCAATGGCTCCCCATTGAAGTCCGGGCCCAATTCAAGGTGTTGGTGATGACCTAGAAAGCCCTAAATGGCTTGGGTCCGGGCTACCTGAAGGAGCGCTTACATCCATATATACCCGACTGCCCCTTGAGATCGGCGGGAGAGGCCCTTCTCCAGGAACCCTCCATGAAAGAAATTAGGAGGGTAGGTACTCGGAAGAGGGCTTTCTCTGTGGTGGCGCCCAATCTATGGAATATGCTCCCCAGAGAGGTCCGCCTGGTGCCATCGTTATTTGTTTTTCGGGGCCAGGTGAAGACCATTCTATTTAAACGTCATTTTAATTGTTAACAATATTTACTTATTTATCTGGCCAGGGCGACTTCTTTTCTTTTCTTTTATAACTTTTCTTTTATAACTTCTTTTATAGCGTTTATATTTTTTATGTATTTTATATTATTAACTTTAATTTTATATTGCTATTTTTGTATTGTATTGAATTTTATTGTGTTGTAAGCCGCCCTGAGGCTTCGGCAAGGGGCAGCATAGAAATGTTCTAATAATAATAATGATAATGATAATAATCTTAGTACATAATGTTCAAAGTGAGACACTGTACGTTAATCTTGGGTGAGATGACCAAGAGTTAGTGACACGTAACTGTTCCGGTGAGAGTTACCCGCGAACGTTGGGATATCATGCAGCAGCCGCTGACCAAGGGCGGAACAGCCCAGGTGACTGCAGGACGCCCCGAGCGCGAGGCAGGCCATCGGGGGCGACCCAACCCCGGCCCACTGGCACGGCACGCGAGTCGCCCTGGCGTGTGCGCAGAGGCAAGCAGAGCGGCGAGCGGCCGGGCTTTGCTTCTGCGCCTGCAGTTTATCCGGTGCGATGCGCCGCAACGCAGGGTTGTTTCTAAGCTCCTCTGAGGGGCTGCAGGCCCTCTGCACCTGCCCTGGCGACCGTTCTCACCTTTGTAATATTCGTCGTCCTCGATGTACCTGGAGAGGCCGAAGTCCCCAAGCTTGATGCACTCGGGGGAGGCGACCAGCACGTTCCGGACCGCGATGTCCCTGGGGACGGAGGACGAGGGGGCTGCTCACTTGCTCGCTCGCTCGCTCGCTCGGTCCCTCCCTCCCTCCTGGGGGGACGCGGCTCCCGGCGGGCAAGGAGGGCTCGTGGGGGTCGAGAGCACACACGGAGCCAGGGCCTGAGCCCGAGCCACCGGCCAGGTGGTGGCTCGCAGCGCCCCAAGCGCCGGGAACGACGGAGGACGTGGGGGGGAGGCGTGGCAGGCGCTGCAGGTGGGCCCCTCGTAAAAGCGCGTGTGGGAAGCAAGGCGAAGCCTCGGCAAAGTTTCCATGCGCGTGTGCAAGAAGGGAGGCTCCTTGCCCAGGACCGTGCCAGGATGTGACTCCTCCAGGCAGGCCTGCTTTACCAGGAGCACAGAGTCTGGGACGGAAGAAGAGGGGTGCGTCTCCCCCAACATGTGAGCGCTGGCTTGCCAGGACCCTCCTTCCTGCCTGCCTGCCAGCCGCATGGGGGGTGTGGGGGGGAGCGATGCGGGGGAGCGGCTGGCACCCCCCACCCAAGCTCCCCAGAGGCCCTGTGCAGACCAGCCTCCCACCCCGTCCAGCGTGACGTGGAAGCTTCTCTCCCTGGAGCTGAACGGGCCCTTTCAGGGCACCCCCTGCCCCCCCAGACACCATCAGTACTGGCAGCTCGGCAGGCTTGGCCTGAAATGACCCTGGGGGGCTTCTAAGTATTCCCCCCCCCCACCACCTCTGGACACCAGCACTGTGGAAACTCTGACACCTCCTGAGCACAGGAAGATGCCCAGTTCGTAGTTTGGGGGGATGGGGGGGGTAAAAGATTGGAGCTGGCATGAAGGTGTTCCCCCCACCTGGCACCCATTCCCCCCCGATTCCAGAGGAGCAGAAGGAAGGGCACCTCTGCCCCAGACTCTGGCCGAATCCTTACGCTGGACGGGGACTATTCGCCCCCTCCGTACCTGTGCACGCAGCTGATGGCCTCCAGGTAGGCCATGGCCTTGCCGATCTGCAGGGTGTACAGGACAAGCGTCTGCACCTTGAGCGAGGCCTTGTTCTGCTCCAGGTAGTGGCCCAGCTGCGGGCAGACAGGCGGGTTAAGCGGGGCGCCTCCCCTTCCCAAGCCTTGCCCTGCAGGAGTGCGGGCTGGAGGGAGCACCTTTATTTATTCTATTTGACTTGTGTTCCAATTTATCCCTGCCTTTTTCCTACAAAGGGCGCAAGGCAGCTTGCATCATGCTCCTCCTCCATCTTATCCCCACAACAACCGCCCTGCAAGGTAGGCTGGGCTGAGAGTCCGTGACTGGCCCAGAGTCACCCAGTGGGCTCCATGGCCGAGCAGGGACTTGAACCCAGATCGCCTGAGTCCCAGTCCCTCAACCACGCCGCCACACTGGCTCGTCCCCTGCCGCCCGCCGCCCGCAGCCCCCTGGCGCGGTGCCCTCCCGCCCCTCACCTCTCCGTAGGGATAGAGCTCCATGACTATCCAGGTGGGCTCCTCCTCCGTGATGCCGATGAGCTTCACGATGTGGGGGTGGTCCATCTTCTTCATCAGGACTGTGGGGGCGTCGGGAAGCGGGCTCAGCTCCTGGGGCGCCCGCCTGCCTCCCACCGGGGCCGGGCAGAGTGCCCCTGGCACGGCTCAGCCCCCCACACGCTGGAGCCATGCGCTCTTTCGCACCGGGCTTCCGCGACGGGATCGCCACCCGTCAGAAGCCCGCAGACCCTCGGGGCGCCGCGTGTCCCCACTTCGCTCCCTTCCCCGCTCACACCGGCCCCCCGGCAGCCCACGCCCTCACTTCCTGGGCAAAGGGCTGCGACGGCCAGCGGGCTCGTCTGGCCGGCTCGACTGCTGCGTGCAAGCCTCACCGTCCCAGTGTGGGGAGCCGAGGCCTCTCCCCGGTGGGAGAACCTCCCGCAGGCCCCCCCGTCCCCCGGATGCTCTGGAACCCCCCTGCTTTTCCCGCTGCGAGAGGCTGAGTCGCCCCCGGGTGGCACTGAGAGCTTGGGGCCATGAGGGGCTGCCCCTTGGGGCAATTTGGGCCCCTGCCCTCTCGCCTTCAGCCCCCTCGCTTTGGGGAAGCAGGCCCCAGGAGGGTCTCCGAGAGGGAATTCGGCCCTTGGGCTGCAAGAGGCTCGACGCTGGCGCGGCGACACCGGTGCTGATCCCCACCGTTCAGAATAGGCCCCGGCGGCAGCAGCACACGGCACGGTCTGTGGCGTCTGCGTCGCCCCAGTGCCGCATCGTCCGCGCGCACGCATGTGCAGGCATGCATTGTCCTTATCATCCCTGCACATGCGTGTTCAGGCGCACAGCCCAGGCAGGACACGCTAGTCGCATCCACACGTTTATTCTGGAGAAGGGGTGCAGGTGCGGAGAACGGCAGGAACCCCGACTGGTCGCTGCTTAAAGCACATGGGCTTCCAAATCTGAACTATGACCGCCCCCCCCGCCCCAAATCATGTCGGAGGTGTGTTGGAGACGCTCGCATGAGCCTCCAACATGGTAACCAGGCTGAGAAAAGGTGCACCGGCCCGGCCCGGGGCTTCAAAGCAGCGCCCGGCCCGCCATCTGTTTCGGCCCCACTGGCTTTGCGCCTGGGGGTGGGGGGCTGCCCCCCTGCTGGGGATAAAGCGAGCAGCAGGATGGGGCCACGTGGGCCAGACGAGGGGCCGATCCGAGGGACACCGTTCTCTGCTCCTGCTCCACACGGCTTGCCCATTTTTACTTCATGAGGACTAGATACTCCTTCCTGCCAGGGTCCTCATCGATCTGTTTCTTGGCCCAGTGGCCACAGCCCCCTTCAGCCACCACGGACCACGCTGCCCTTGCACCCTGCCTGAAGGGGGGGCTGCCGCGCGCCACGTGGCCCCGGGGGGGCACCCACGTACTCGCTTCGCTCATGAACTTCTCCTTGTTCTCGGCCGTGCAGTCCTTCTTGCAGGTCTTCACAGCCACACTGAGGCGCTCCCCGGTCTGCAACGAGAGGTTCGGCAGAAGCCACGGATCAGCACGCCGCGGCCTGTGCCGGCCCACGGAAGAGCACAGGATTACGGGGCAGGAAGGGGCGAATCTGGCCTCCGAGGGCGACCCCTGCTCAGTGCAGGAACCTGGTCCAAAGACGCAAGACGGGGAGGACGTGGCTCAAGAGGACCGAAAAAGACCTCGGAGTAATTGCAGATGACAGGCTAAGCATGAGCCAACACTGCGATGCAGCCGCCGAAAGGGCAAGTGCTATTTTGGGATGCATTAACGGAAGCATTACTTCCAAATTATGAGAAGTAGTAGTTCCCCTCTACTTCTCACTAGTCGGACCTGCTCTGGAGTCCTGCATCCAGTTCTGGGCACCAAGATTTAAGGAAGAGGCAGAAAAATTAGAAAGGGTCCAGTGAAGGGCAACAAAAATGATCCGGGGTTTGGAAATGCTGCCCTGTGAGGAGGGACTGAGGGAACTGGGCATGTCCGGCCTTGGGAAAGGAAGGCTGAGGGGGGACATGGTGTCCCTCTATAAGGACCTCAAAGGCTCTCACAAAGAGGAAGGCCAAGATCTCTTCTCGGTCATGCCAGAGTGCAGGACATGAAATAAACATCTCCAGTCGAGGCAATGCTGGTTCAGGGCGGCAGCGCCTCACCCCACAAACCTCCCTGGGGCCAGTGAGGGGTGGGAGATGCAAGGTCCGAGGGGAGGGGGCTCCTGGCCGGATCTCCGCCATGGAATCCGGCAGCAATTGGGTGGGCAGGGAGGCCAAGAAGCACGGGGGTCCGACGCGGCCACGGGCCGTGCATTGCCCACGCCGGTCTAGCTTTAAAACGGACTCCCTGCGCCTTCCTTCTGGCAGGACCGGCAGCGGATTTCCTTGCCCCCCCGGGTGCCCCCCCGCTCTGGTCCCTGTGAGCCTTGCGCAGGGTGGGGCAGGGCGAACCGCCCGGGACGCACCTCCGTGGTGAAGACGCCCTCGTAGACTTCCCCGAAGAAGCCTTCTCCCAGGATTCGGCCCAGAACGACGTCCTCCCGGGAGATTGCGAACGATTGCCCTGGACGGGGGAGGTCGTCAGCTGCACCGGCGTGGCGGGGGCAGAAAGAGCCCCCTCTCGGGGCCCCCAGGGAGAGTGCATGCTCCCCGCCCGCCAGTGCCCCTGTCCGCCAGTTGCCCACCTGCGCCCCCGTTTTCCCACCACGGCTTCCCCCTTTCTGCAGCTGCCCCCGCTGCCCAGGAACCCCCCCCCAAATGGCACCTCTTCCAGGAGCTCAGAAGCTCCCCTGCCCACTGGGCCTACTTTGCAGGGCTGTTGTCAAGAGCACAGCTCCCTCACACGTGCAGAGTGCACAGGCAACCTTGCCACAACGGTTTTGTCCCACGGAAAGGCCTTTCAGCCTCTTTGCTTTTTCTTTTCTTTAGCACCGGGGCGCCGCCTACCCGGCAGTTTGGAAACTATGCTTCTTGTGGCCAGAAAAACAGGCACCTGTTTAAGCACAGCTGCCCTCTGTCTGTCTGTGGATCGACCTCCACCCCTCCTTCCTTGGTGTTGTGCCAAGAAACCCGCATCGCCCAGCGGGCCAAGCCCCTTCAGGGGGGGCAGCAGTGAAGCACCCTTTCGGAGGCCAGCGCTTACCTCCAGATTTGGGCCTGGATGCTTCGTCTGGGATCTCAACATAAATTTCGGAATCTGGAACAGACAGAGCCGTGCAGCCAGGCGTCCCTGCGGAGGGCACCCCAGCGCCTCGCCAAGGACAAGGGGTGGCACTTCCGCTGCCCTGCTCTGCCCTTGCCACCACCGCCCCCGACACGACGTCCTCTGTTCCGGGCTGCCCTTTGCTTGTCTGCCCCAGGCGCACACCGGTCTCCCCCCGCCCCCCACACGTCTAGCCCTGGAGGAGCACGCGACACTTCCCTGAGTGTTTGTGCGCATTCCGTTGCGCCACCACGCACTGAGCACCTCAGAAACGGATGCACGGACGGGCGCTGGGGCCACAGAGCGGGCCGGAGAGCATCCCTCAGCCAGCCACTGCTTCTAGGGGGAAGGCCATGCCGTCAAAAGAGGGGGTGCCCCCTTTCCTCACCCCTTCCCCGCACGCTTCCCCCGCCCCATCCTGGCAGGTGCTGCTCATCTGCACGCAGGTTGAGCCGGCCGTGGGCCACGAGGGAGGGAAGATGGCGCCTCTCGGAGGGCGGACCGGGCGCAAGGAGGGGTGGGCGCCAGTTCCTAATTCCGTGCTGCAGATCACCTCACAAACCGCAGCCAAGCCACAACCAGGAGGCCGGCCGCCTCTTTCTGCCCCGGCATGAACTCCGGGAGGGCCACCCCCGTCGCTCCGGGCCCTTTGGGAGTCCCGCAGAAGGGCGCACCGGCTGCCCCTCCACACTAGCTCTGGCAGGCAGCCCCACAAGCGCCGACTACAGCCTCAAGCCCCCCCAGCCAGCCGCTGGGAACCATGGGAGCTGTAGTCCGACTCGTCTAGAGGGGGCCGGGGCAGGCAAGGCTGGGGTACAAGAGACCCTTGAGCGGCCGGCTGTTTGGCAGCTGTGCTCCTGGCCAGGAGGGGGGCTTCACGGGACCACCCCACATCTGGCCTAGTGCCTGTGCCAGTGTGTCCACGGAGCTGTGCAGTGGGGTTGCGATGGGTGGGCGCAAACCAGGAGGGTGGGGGAAGCCACTCCTCTGGGGGGGCAGTCAGATCTGTGCCACGCTGCACTGACCCCCCGTGGGGCCCTGGCAGCTCCTGTGGGGGTTTTCCCGGGCAGAGCACGGGCTGCCCCAGCGACCACGGAGGGGCGGCCGGCCAACACAGCTCGGCTGGAGCAACAGGGACGGGGTGGGCTCGCAAGGCGACTTTCCCAACAGCCGCATTCAGGCTGGCTTTCCCCTCAAAGGCCTTAAAGGCAGCCCGGAAATTTCACCTGGACAAAATACGGCCATTTGAGCCCCGGCAGGTGCCAGGGCTGGGCCCGTCCCGCCCACTGCAGCCCCCACCCCCTACTGGCTTGGCACCGGTAGCGGGGGCTTTTCGCCCTGTGGGTCACGTCAAGGAAGCACGCTGAGGCGGCTGCCCTGGGGCAATCGCACCCCCTCTGGCGGTCCCGTGCTTAAATTGGGCCTTCCTGGGCCCAGAGTGAGAGAGCGGTCCTGGCCCTGAAACCCCGAAGGGACCGGTCCCCGCTGCGCTGAAGGAAGAAGCGTCTGTGCCCACAGCAACCTGGAGTTCAGCATCAGAGGCTCACCTGGTGCCTACCTGAAGGAGCACTTCAGTTGGGGGCATGAGGGCCGGGGCCTTCCTGGCGTGGCCCCCCCTTCTGGAACTCTGCTCCAGAGACCCACCTGCGTACCTTAGCCTAGAACTAATTTCTGTTTCCATCACGGTTGTTCAGTTGTTATATTTTGCGGGTCAAAAGTGGGTGTTTGTTTGTACCCTATCTTGGGAGTTGTTCAGCCACAAAGCCACGGCTGATTCTTCGCGGCCTCACGGACCACAGCGCCCCCGTCCTCCACTGTTTCCCAGACTTCCCCCAAATTCATGTTTTCTACGCTTAGAAATCTTCGAAATAAATGAACGGCCACGCCCACGAAGCTTCCTCCATGGGGTGACCGCAAAAGCTTGCTATGGGGTGGCCCACGGCTTCCTATTCCTTTGACTTAAGGAACCTCTCGCTCTTGGGGGGTGATATTATTCCCTTCGCGTGTTTATCATCCCGCCAACGGCCCCACAACATCCCAGTCTGCAGCTGCGGCAGGTCAACCCGCTGCCGACCCTTCCTGCCCGCGGTCGTCCGGCCCGCAAGGGGGCGGAAGCGAGCGCCCGACTCACCTCCGCTGAAGCTCTTGTGCAGTGTGGACCACCGCTCCTCCAGGTGCCTGGGGGCAGAAAGAGGCTCGGGGGTGAACGGGGCTCGGCCACCTCCTCCCACATCCCGTGACGCCCCACACTGTCAGGAGACCAAAGTCTTCTCCGGCACCCTCCCTGGCAGAACCGCCCCAGGCGTGGGAGGCCCGGCAGCCTCCTCCAGGAAGCCCCTGCGCGGTCTGCAGCCACCAGGCTCCCCGCCGCCCCACTGCTCTGCCGGCCAGGCAGAGCCCGGCGCACGGGGCTTCGCACCCCTGCTGCCCCTCACCAGCTCCGTCGCCAGGCCCACGCCAGCCGGAGAAGCAGCTGCTCCGGGGCGGGCAGTGGGACCCGCTGGGACGTGGGTGCGGGCGGATGCCCGGCCTCGGAGAGCAGCCCTCTCCAGCCCCACAGGAGCCCCTGAGCAGGGCAGGAAGGGAGGGCTGTCCTGTGTGCCCCGCCCTGGAGATGGGTCCGGCCCCCGAACACGGAGATCCCGGTTCGCCCTCCCCTTTCTCGGCTCAGAGGAAGGCCTGCGGTTCCCCCGCCCGCAGCCCTCCTGGGCACCGGCACCCTGGGGCCTGAGCTCGGAAGCCCCCGGCAGCCGCTCGGCTCCCTCCTGGGCCCAGCGCCGGGCCGGGCAGGTTCCCGGCACAGGCCTGCTCCCGTACTCACTGTATCGGGACCTGGGGCAGGCTGGACCGCTTCTCGTTCTCTGCGGAGGACAAGGGGGGAGGACGGTCGTCAGGAAACACGCAGCGCAAGGCCAGCTCTGCCCGGGGAGGGCGACCCCCCACCGCCAGGGCCAGAGGGGGCGTGGGCTGGGCCGCAGGAGCTGCCACCCACCTTGGCTGGGGCGCACGATGAGCGAGGAGCCCGAGCCGCCCTGCAGCCTGCAGTAGCCGTCGATCAAGTCCGCCATGTTCTCGGCCTCCGCCAACGAGGCTGTTTTGATCGTCAGGGACTGCGGAGCGGAAAGGGAGAGCGAGCTGGCCTGGCGGCACGAGGAGGGCGAGCCCCCCCGCCCCCAGCCTTTCCCGGGGGACTGGATCGGACCGCACTCCATGCAGGGGCCGAGTGCAGCTCGAGCTGGGGGCTGAAGCACGGGTTGGGGCTGGAACAGGCTAGCGTGTCGTCTGAACCCGGCTGTGCCAACAAGCGATGGCTCACCAAGCACAAACTGCCAAAAGGAGAACCCAGCCTTTGCCATTGAGCGGTGAGCCGTGGGTTGTTCGCCGTGGTTTGTTATCTCGCCTGGGTTCAGACGCGTGATACCCCGTTTCCACGAGAATGCACAGTTCGACAGCACCCCAGACTCAGCCCGTCAGTGTGGGTCAGCATGTTGTCAGAGTGGGTCCCAGAAAGCTCCCAGCCACGCGGGGTCTAAACCGTGGCTGGGCAGCCAGGAGATCTCGGGGTGTTTAGGACGGGAGCTCCCAACATGCCTACGGACTGGGCAGGCTGGCAGGTGCTTCTGGTTGCTGAAGTCCAAAGGACCTGGAGACGCCCCTTCCATCGCCCTCCGGACTAGACTATCCACCTAGGCCCCTTCAATGCTAAGAAAAAAGTCAAAAGGAACCCTGCGCGACCAGTGGCAAGCCTGCATACCACCAAGAAGTTGCGCCATCACAGAAAGTGGCACTTCCGCTCTGGCACGCGCTTCCGTGGACCCTCTTCTTCATCCCGCTCACAGGGTGGGCACCGAACGTTTACACTGGCACACCTGCGTGTGTGCCAAGGGCCCACGAGTTTCTTTGTCGATGTGGCTGCGAGGCTCACGTGGATGCCGACCGGCTGGGAAGCCCATGTTTCCTCGCAATACCTCAAAGAGGCAGCTGTGGTTTCGGTGGCTGGTGAACTCGGGCGTCTAACGCCGCTTCCTGCAGGATTCGACCATGGATCTCTCCTTGAGAGTCGCTGGCTGGCCGGCAGGGGATCCCCAGGGGTTCACCCCAAAAGAAGGGGATGGTACAACAAAACCTGGGCCCTGCCTTGGCCTTCATGGGGGACCCACTGCCCCTCGAAACAGGCGAAACTGATGCTTATCCTAAGCTAAGCTCGCAGCCTTTTCTCTAGTTGACGTGCACCCGATTGCAGAGTCGCAAGACACCGCAAAAGCTTTGGCTGCAGGGCAGCTCAGAAATGAAAGCAGTAGAAGCCTCCGTAATGAGAATGCGTTGCTGACCAGGGGAAGGCCCCTCCGGCTGTGCCCGGAGTCTCCCCCGCCACCGCCGCCCCATGGAAACGCAGGAGCCACGCAAGCAGAGGCGGGCCCCAGCCCCACGCGTCCGTCCGGCGTACCTGTGGGTTCCCGGTGAGGCCGAGTTGCAGCAGGGCCCGCCCCTCCTCCACGGCGGTGCACTTGATCGACTTGATCTGCTTGAACTCGGCCAGGCAGGTGGGCTGCGGGGACAAGCGGGAGAACGCCTCGTTCGTGCCCAAGCGCCCTCAGGGGTCCGTGGCCCCCGCAGCGGTCCTGGGGCAGGGCAGCCCGGGGCAGAGGCAGAGTCAGCCTCCGGTCCCCGAAGGAAGCACCACACTGCGCGTGCGCCCTCAGGCCCGCGTCCCGTGAAGCCCAATGGGACTTACGACGAGGCCAGCTGGTTATCGAGCGTGGCCAGACCACCTCCGTGGCAAAGGGCCGCTCGCTTCTGCCTCGCGAACCCGCTGGCGTGTGTCCCTGTGAGGCGAAGCCAGCCCTCTCTGCGAGCCCTGAGTGACAGCCACGCAAAGAGGATGAGCTTTGCCACGGCGGACACCAGGGACGCAAGAGAAATGGCTCTCCGTTCCTTTCCGAACGGGGTTACCCGGGTTGGACCTTCCCGACTGAACACGGGCCCAGGCAGAGTTTGCAGCCGAAGGCCGTGTGATTCCAAGCTTGAAAAATGACTTGCAAAACACACGCATGAGACAGGATGCGCACATTAGAAGGATGAGCATGAAAAGGTATGTGTTGGTAGGCATGTCAGGAGCGGAGCTGGCTAGAGCTGGGGTCAGACTAGATGGTCCAGGAGGCCCCTTCCGACTCGCTCGGTTTCTATGTGCTTGAACAACGAGCACAAGCATGCTTTAATCAACGCAGAAGAATGTGCTCATCTCACAGAGGAGCACAACTGACGTGTACTTTAGGAGAAAACACACATACACACAGACACATGCATTTTCATGCAAAAAACAGAACGAAACTTGCAATCGGATACAGACGTGGGACTGAATGAGCTTTGAGACAGAGTTTGGAGAGCCTTCCGGATCCAAATTCGGCTGATTCGCACGTCTCAACTCCAGACGCACATAAAAGCTTTGCATTCATTCTGACAGTCCCTAAATCACGCGATAAACAAAATCAGCATGGTGGCCACAGAGACACTGTGGAAACAGAGGACACCCACTGCCACGGGAGGAGACACGTTTACGTAACGTTTCGACGTGCAAACTTCTGCGCATGGCGAATTCGGGACTTAAATGTTGGGGATACGGAAAGAACTGCGATCTGAAAATGGGACACGTCCGAGCGCCGAGCCTGAGCCTCCGTCGGGCTCGGGGCAGCTACTGCTAACTAACCAAGAGCGGGCGCCCGCCAGGCTGCTCGGCTGCTCCTGCCTCAGGAGGCTCTGGCCGGGGAGCCCGTCCAACCGCCGGCCCCTCCCGAGAGGGCTCTGCAGCGGAGAGCCCCCCGCTGCCCTCTGACGGGGGCGGGTGGCCACATCCGTGCCTGGGCTGCTTAGGCCGGCCGGAGCTGCAGGGCACGCAGCCTCCTCCTCTCCCAGCCAATACGGAGCCGGGACCTCCTGGAACGGCCCGTTCGCAAGACCTCAGAGCTGCCGCGGGAGGCCGACCGCACTCCCATGGGGCGCTCTGTCCCGAACGACGGCACTGGGAGGGCGGCTGGGACACCGGTTAAGGGGCTGCTCGGGTGGCCTTTCTGCCCGCTTGGGGGCAGAGACCTGCAGGGAAAGGGGCTTAGCCCTCTCCACACCAGCTGCCGTCAGAGGCAAAGCTCGTCTGCGGCCCAAAAACGAGCCCTCGGCCGCCACGGGGACACCCCTGCTCTCTCACCATCCACAACGGGGCGCTGCGATAGCGTGGGGAGGAGCGCCACGCCCCCCACTGGGCAAACGGGATGTGAAAGGGAGGAATGTGGGGCTGGCTCTCTCCGGGACGTGCCGAGCAACGCACCTTCGCCTCCTTGCTGGTCATCTGCCGGATGCCCTTGGGCCCGATCACCAGGTCAACCACGATGTTCCACCCTTGCTGGAAAGGAGGGGGAGAGCAAGCCATGTCGGGTGTCCTCTGGATGCTCGCCACGGACGGTCCTCTCCGGCAGCGCTGAAACGCGTTTGGGATCCCGCCCCCCCCGCGGCCAGGTGCTCCCCCCGCCCAGCATTCCCATCAGGCCCAAGAGCTCACTATCGATTTGCTGCAAATGAATTGTGAACCTCCTTGCCTTCACATGCAGCAGCGAGGTACGCAAGCGAGGTACGCGTCCTTCTTTTTAAAAAGGTGGCCCAAGAGCCCTACTTAGGAATGAAAACCTCCACATTCTTCGCCCCAGGCTTGCAGGGAGGCCAACCCGCAAATGCGGCACGTGTGAAAAGGGGGTTCTGCACAATCCTGCCCATCTCCTGGCCCCCAGGGCTCCTCCACCCTTTGCTGGGGGCAGGGGGCAAAAGCGGGGAAGGGGGACAGGGGGGCTTCTGCGCAAGGCTGTCGCAAGGCCCCGCTCGGCCTCGCGGGTGGGCTCTCCCGTGGACGCCCCCTCACGCTCCTCGCCTTCCTGGTCCTGCCACAGCTCCCTGCTGTCTTTCTCCTTACTGCAAAATGGCTTCCGGGAGCAAGAGCGAGTGGACGCCGGCTGGCTAGCGGCAAGAAGCCCGAGAAGCGGACCGTGGCCGGAGCGCAGGGGCTGGGCACGGCCCGCGGAGCAGAGTGCTGCAGCCAAGCCCCACACGTGCCCTAACTGGGGGGCCGGGTCGCTGGAATAAACCCAGACGCAGCTGGGCCCTTCTCGTCGCGCCCCCTGCGCCTCCACCCAGCCCCTTCCGTCGCCAGTCGGAGAGGAAGCGAGGGGGGAACGGGCCCCGGGGCGAGAGGGGGCGCGGGTCCGGGGGGCGCATGCCGCGGGCCCCCCACAGGCGCCCGGAGGCTCCCCTCGCCCCCCACTCACAATCAGCTCGCAGCAGTAGCTCTCCTGGTCGATGTTGGCGAAGGTGGCGAGGGTCCCGAGGAACTTCATGATGCACTCCTCCTCGCGCAGCAGGGCGTACTGCTGGAAGGTCTGCTGGATCATCTTGCGGAACTGCTTGGGCTGTGGGGGGGCAGGGGGGAGCACCCCTCTCAGTGGCGGGGCAGCACCCGCAGCACGGTCCCCGACGCGAGCGGGTTGCTGGGCTCCCGCACTCGTGCAGCGGGGAACCCACGTTCAGGCCGACGGGGGGATCGGATCCTGGACTGAGGGCAGGTGGCAGGCGCCCGCCTTGTTTCTGCTCGCCTCCCATGCGCTTTCGTGGGGAAACCTCCCTGCACACAGTCTAGCAGCTCAAGGACAGCCTGTTCCTGGGCATGCTGGCTTTCTAGCTGCAAGGAAATGTTCACGCGGAGCAGTGCTTCTGGGCGGGGAGCTGGTCCACCGCCTGCACTCTGGCCCGTGGCACACAGGGAGCCCTGCCCCACCCTCACCCGGTGCGGCCCGGCCAGAGACTGGTGCCGCAGGGGCAGGGCAGCGGGCCCCACGTCCTCCGCTGCGGGGAGCCGTCCTGCGGGGGGGCTTGGCCAGGGCGGGGCAGCCCGATCCGGGTGGGCAGCTGCGTTCCCTGCCCAAGGGCGGGCCTGCGTCCGCGGCCCTCGCTGCCGGAGGGGCTCCCTTACCTTCAGGCTCTCCTGCATCTGCCTGGGAAAGAACAGATCCAGCCCCACCTCCTTCCTGAAACAGAGAGCACAGCCACCTGCATCCCGTGCCAGCGCCCCCGTGCACGCCTCAGTCCCCGGGCAGGGAGCGGCCCATGTCTGGGCTCATGCCCTCCTGGCCCTGCAGCGGGCCCCCGGCTGGCCCCCGCCCTGCTCTGCCAGCCAGGAAGGGCACCCCCAGCCTGCCTGAGCGGCTGGCACCGCGCCGGCCTCGCGCCGTAGATGCCCGGCCACACCACCAGGCAGCGCATCTGTCCCGGCCCCGGTCCGGCCAGGGCCCAGCCATGCTGGGGTGCCTGTAGCTCGGGGGCCCCCAGCCTTTGGGGCACAGCGGGAGTGTTGGGGGCGCTCTCACGGAGTGGCTGCCCCGGTGAGCTGGGTGGCGTGCCGATTCGTGCAACGGCTGCCCTGGTGGGCACGGCCAGCCACGGGGCACGGAGAGGGCCGCCTCCGGCTGGGGCTAAAGCGGAACCCGACTGCCCACGTCCAGGAGCCGAGTCCCGGGGGGGGGCAGTGAGGGGGGTTAGACAAGTTCACATCAGTCCAGTGCTGATGGTGGCGCTTTGCTGTGCAAGCTTCTCGCACAGGGAATAAGTCTTTGGAAATAAAATGAAAGTCCAGTGGGGCAGGGGGCCTCCGAAAGGGGCCGGCGGGCGCCCAGCAGAGCCGCAGCAGGGTGAGGAGGCGCCACCGAGGCCCGAGAGGCTCCGGAAGCAGCTGGGAGCCCACAAAGGCTGCACCTGGGAGGCGGGCCGGGGCGCAAGGCCGCGCTCCCCCGCCCTGCCCCATGCGGGACGAGAGGGACCCCCAGGGACTCCGGCGGGCCCTCCTCGGAGCGCTCCATACGTACTCCAGGAATTCGAAGTTGGACTTCTTCTCCAGGGCGTTGTGCGGCATGTCCTTGTAGAACCTCCTGCAGAGAGAGGCGGCCAATGGGTGCAGGTGGCGCTGGGGAGCATGGACCCCCGCCAGCGGGGAAAGGGTTCGGGGCAGGAAGAAGGGCGGGGGCCCTGCCGCCAGCCGCCCCCAGCCAGGGGCACCCGCAAGGCAGCGCAGCTCTCAGTCGGGCGGCTGCAAAGGCCACTCCGACCCTGCGCAACAGCTGCTCCCCCAGAAGCCCCCGTGCAGCCAACTGGGCCTCCCTCGGGGAGGGGGCGCCAGTCGTGGGACAGGCCTCCCCAGGGAAAGGCTGCCAGCACCCAGGACCCGCACCGGGGGACGCTGGACCAACCAAACCCTCTTCGCACGTGCACGGGCCTTCTGTCCAAACACACCCAGCCCTACACCCCACGCCTGGATTTTTTTGGGGGGGGCTGTGGCACAGCTCTGCCACACACCCTGCGCACACTCAGCTGTCAACGGGTTTCCACACACCAGAGCATCTGGGACAAGTTGGAAACGCACGGATCCGCCCCCCAGCGCATAGTGATGCTCTGTCTGGGTTTCAGGGGGACACGCCCCCAGCTGGAAATGCGCCCCACTTTTAATCGGGTGCCTCAGTCGTGCGACACGCAGGCGCCAGCACTCTGAGTCAAATGGCTGCCACTCGCAGATCCGATGTACACACGGGTGGGCTTGCACACACAATAATGTCTGCCCCCCCCCCCGTGCAAAGTCAGTTACATGAACGTGACGGCAAATCCTTCGGGGGTCCCAGCGACCGCCGTGTCTCCAACGGACCCCCAGAAAGGTCACGCCCTACCTGGACTCATTCCGTCCCTCGTGTTATTTTGGATTCTCTGCTCTGGGCAGGGTCGTCGCTTTTCCTGAGAATCGTCTCAGAATGCCCCGGGTAGAGCCAGCCAGGCGGGTTGGAGCTCAGCTCCCAGAATCCTCTGAATTCTGGCTGGGGGATTCTGGGAGCTGAGCTCCAACCCGCCTGGCCGGCTCCGGCTTGGGGCAGTCTCCCCTCGATCTTTCCTGGGTTCATTCCTGCTCCAGATCGGTGCTTCCGCTGGACGAGCAGGCCAGCGGTGCCGCGCCAGGCCCTGTACCGGCAGGATGCGCCCTTCCACCCGGGCGAGCCGTACCTGAGCTCCAGGCAGCCGAGCTGCAGGGCCATCCCCTCGCTCACTTTGTCCGCGTACCGCTGCATGTACTCGCTCCGGAGCTGCGGAAGCAGAAGCCGAGATGAGACCATCAGTTAAGGGGTGCCAGAGGCGGGGGTGGCCCTGCCCCCCCCCATGGGAGAGCCTGTTTGTGGGATCAGAGCAAAGGCGCGTCGAGAGCAGTGCTTGCCCAGGCAGGGCAGGAAGGCCGTCGCCTCTCCCCCACGAGGGTACACTGCCCCTGGTCTTGGAGGGTCCTTGTTGCCATCTTGGCAGGGAGCTGCTGAGCTTCTATCTATCCACGAGAGTTTCAGCTGGCTTTTTCCTTCCAAGGCACTCAAGGCAGCTTACATGATTATCCTTATCTCACAACAACCCCCCTGCGAGGTAGGCTGGGCTGAGAGCCTGGGACTGGCCCAAAGGCACCCAGCGGGCTCCACGGCTGAACGGGGACTGGAACCCGGATCGCCCGAGTCCCAGCCCCGTCCTCTTAACCACAGCACCGCGCGGGCTCTGGCGGCGATAAGCTGAGCTCCCGCAGCGATTTGACTTGGTGCCTTTTAGACCCCCCAGAGCCAGAGGTGTGGCCACGGCTGACCTGCCACGTCATTTTGTGGCACCAAGACCGCCCCACAAGTAGCACGCACTGCATTTCCTCCTGTCCGTCCTGAGTCCAAGGGGACCGGGATCGCCACCATCTGTTCTCCCAAAGTAGCCATGAGCTGAGCCCTCCCCAGACTGAGCCCATTTCTTTCCAAACGTGTGTGTGACCACAGGGACTAGCCACTTGTTTCCTCTCCTCTTCAAGTCAAACACGCAGGCTTGCGGGATAGCACAGTCTGTGGCCCACACCAGATTCACGGACGCGGCTCTTTCTGGGCAGAGCGACGGAGCAGCCACGACAGGCAAAGCTCGGAAGGAGCGGCAGCGACTCTCCACCCGGCCCCTCGACACGGGGTGCAACTCTTCCCCGGCCCCCACGATGCCCGCCCCACCGCATGGGGGCAGGCCACGCAAGGCGCTCGCTAAAGTTCTGGGGTGCCGTTTTTCTCTGGGTTGATGGATTAAGGGAACTGGAATTGGGGTGGGTGACCGGGGCGGGTGGAAGGCCGGCGACGGGAATGCTGCGCTCGTGGCTCGATGGGCCAGCGACCTCGGCCACCAGCGTCGAACTGCCTTCAGCCCGAGGGCCATTCCTGGGCGGGGGGCACCATTCCGGGGGGGGGGCACCAAAGGCAACAGGGGGCTCGGATCACCCAGAACCCAGCCTTTGGAGAGGCAGTCCATTTGGTACGTGGGGCTGCCCTTGAAGACAGTCCGGATACTTCAGATGGTGCAAAAAAGAGCAGCCAGGTTGCTGACGGGGACTGGGTGTTACTCTCACATAACCCCAGTCCTCTACCAGCTTCACTGGCTCCCCATTGAAGTCCGGGCTCAATTCAAGGTGCTGGTTATCACCTACAAAGCCCTTAACGGCTTGGGACCTGGATACCTGAAGGAACGCCTGCTTCCATATTTGCCCTCCCGCCCCCTGAGATCGGCAGCAGAGGCCCTCCTCCGGGAGAGACATCAGGAGGCAAAGTACCCGGAGGAGGGCCTTCTCCGTGGTGGTGCCCCACCTGTGGAATGCGCTCCCCAGAGAGGTCCGCCTGGAACCGTCCTTATTTGTTTTTCGGCGCCAGGTCAAGACCTTTTTATTCCAGTGGTATTTTAATAAGTTTTAATATTGTCTTTTCTATGTTTTTAATTGCAGCCAGTGTGGGTTGGGAATTTCATTTATGTTATTTATGTTATTACATTGTAAGCCGTCCCAAGGCTTTTTTGCGATTAGGACAGCATATAAATATTTTAAATAAATAAAGAAATTTGCCAGGGGAGGAAGTTACCAAGCAAGAGCCAGAAAACCCCGAAAGGGCACACGCTGGGGGCCGCTATGGGAAGGGAGCGTGGCCGTCTGGGAAACTCCCGAGGGCCAGGTGGGACCCAGGCCTGGCCCAGGGCCGACGTGTGGTAGCCCCGATGGAAAGCGAGCGCTCGTGCTAAGAGGGCCCACAGGGGAGAGGCTCCCACGGGCCTGTGCCCCTGGGGTTTTCCACCCAAGGCACCCGCCATGGGGCATCCGGGGTGATGCAGGGCGCCCAAGTCCCCCCGGCCCCAGAGGGAGAAGGGCCGCCTGCCCCTCGGTCAGCGAGCCCAGGCCTTCCTGTGCCGGGGAAGGGGCCGGGACAGGAGCAAGCCAGGTAGAAGCACACCTGCTGGTAGAAGTAGAAGAGCGTTGTCCGGTCCTCCTGGAAGCGCTCCAGGTAATCTTCGGGGAGGTAGCGGATCTGGAGGTCGTACCTGAAAGAGGAGGGCAGCCGCCTTTCCGGCTCTGATCCCCAGGCTGAATCAGCCTTCCCAGCCCTGCAGCCTCCAGCCCCGTGGCGGGACTGCAACTCCCATCAGCCTCAGGAAGCATGCCAATCCTGGACAGGCCGCCCTGGGCCAGGCGGGCGGGCGGAGGCCATCGCGACCCCGCGCTGCCGCAGGGCCTGGGGCTGGCGGGGAGGGACGGGGGGGCGGCGCGTGCCGGGGAAGCACCTACCTCCACTCGGCCTCGATGTGCAGGCGCTCGTACTTGTCCTGGACTTCGCCCACCGTCATGTCCGGGTGCAGCCAGTGGATTTCGTCCGACTTCACGTGCTTCAGGCGCAAGCCGTAGCACTCGGCCAGCTGGATGTCCGGGCCACTCTGCAGGATGGACCGGATCACCTCCTGCAAAACAGAGCGAATGACAGCCCCTCAGAAAGTGGCGAGGGCGGCGGGGGCGGGAGAGCCCGGCGGCACACGGCACCCTCGCGGCAAGGCTGCGACCGCAGAGGAGGTTCGGGGTGGAACGAATGAAAATGGAATAAATTGGTGCTTTGCGGCCCCTCAGGACTCAAGATCGGATGGCGCTTGAGCATTAGAAGCCTCTGATTGCAGAAACTGGGCAGAAATGGGCATGGTGTAAGAAAACGGAGGCCTCACTGCTAGCACGGATGTGCCAGGAATGCTCTGCCATGGACGCCCAAGTGGCAGGAAGCCTCCAGAGGCTCACATGCGCCTCCAGGCTCCATCGGCGAGCCGACCGATGCGAACCGCCTCGGATGCCCCCACGGCGGCACCTCGAAGCAGCAGCGAGAGAAGCGCAGGCTTGCGCTTCAATGCCTCACTCAGACCTTGCAGTCCAGTGTTGGTCCCACCTCCGAGTCTCGCCTCCACGGGAGACCCAGAGGTGGCAACCGCAGGGATTGGGCCCACTCCGCCTAGAACAGCACCTTCAAATGTTGTTGGATGAGATTCTGGTGCAGAAAAGGATGACGGGCCAGACTCTGCAGCTGAAATGCCCAGGGCAGCAGATGCAGAGAAACAGCGGGCAGCTGCAGAGACTCCGACAGTTTCTGGTTCCGTGGGAACGGCTAGTGAGCGAGCTGGTAGGGGAGGCAGCAGATCCAACGTCATAAGCAAAATCACACGGCATCAGGTTAAGTGGGCAGCCAACTTGAGGAGCGCCGGACGTTTCGGGCGACTGGCCCCGGAACCCCAGAATGCTCCTTGGAGGCCTCGGGAGGAGGAAGGACATTCCGCTGGGAGCCGCTTCGTGTCACTCAGCTGCATTTCCCTCTGGCTAATTGCTAATGTCTCACGTTTTCTGTGAATTGTTGCAAACCGCTTGGAGATGGCATGGATGCAGTGCATCTCCGCATCCATGTCAAGGATTTTGAGAGCAACAGCCAAGTTCCTAGCAGGGCTATCGGGGAGTCGGCGTTTCGGTCAGGTCAAGAGGCCTTTTGACAGAGTATCCAGCAAAGGGCAACTGAACATTGGCCTTCACTTGGGGCACAGGAATGGGCGTCACAAGTACAGGTTAGCGGGCAAGTGGCTGGAGAGCAGCGCTTGTGAAAGGGACCTCGGGGTGCTGGGCGACTGCAGGCTGAACGTGAGCCAGCCGTGCGATGCGGTGGCCAAGAGGGCGAACGCCACCCTTGGTTGCATAGCCAGAAGCGTGGCTTCTAGATCGAAAGAGGTGTTGCTGCCACTCTGTACAACTCTGGTGCGCCCACAGCTGGAGCATTGTGCTCAGTTCTGGGCCCCTCATTACAGGAAGGATATAGCCAGGTTGGAGTCAGTGCAGCGCAGGGTCACAAGGTTGGTGGCCGGTTTGCAGGGGATGCCGTATGAGGCGGGACGGAGGGAACTGGGTCTCTTCAGCCTGGAGGAGAGGAGACTCAGAGGGGATCTGTTGGCGACATACAGGTGTGTGAGGGGGTGTCACACGGAGGTGGGCAGAGACCTGTTCCCTCTGCAGAGGAAGGCAGGACGTGCTCCAACGGAGCAAAGCTCAGGGAGCCAAGGTTCAACTTGGATGCCGGGAAGCACTTCCTGACAGTTAGGACCTCGAGGGTATGGAATGGGCTTCCACAAGAGGTCGTTGAGGCCCCCTCGGTGCGGGTGTTCAAGGACAGGCTGGACATGCACATGGTGGGCATGCCGTGAGCAAAACCGGGGGTCAGACTAGATGGCCCAGGTGGCCCCTTCTGACTCGCTCAGTTGCTATGAACATGCTTAAGGGAGAATTAAAGATCTGGAAAATGTAAATAGGGACAGCGGCTGGTGTGCTCGGCTGGGGACTCAAGAGAGTCGGGCACTTGCCCCCGCTCAGCCATGGAGCTCCCTGGGTGACGCTGGGCCAGGCACAGACTCTCAGCCCAGCCTACCTCGCAGGGCTGCTGTTGTGAGGATAAGATGGAGGGGGCAAAGCACTATGTAAGCTGCCTTGGCCCCCTCAGAAGCAAAGAGAAAGGGAGGTAGAAATGTGAAGGCATAACAAGAATCATTAGGGGAAAGACACTTGAAGGCCCCAGCGGCTGCACAGAGAATCCTGGGTGACGTATGAACCCCAAGAAGCTCAGCGGGGTGAGATCCGAGGACCGAACGCAGAGCTGCAAAAAACTGGAGCTGCTTGCGTGCCGAGCAGGTGCACAGCAGCTTTTCCTGAGGCCAGCCGGGAGTTAAGTTAATTAACTTATCAATTAATGGGCAAGAAACTTTGCGTGGGCGTGTGCTCCGAAAATGGGAAGCCTCCAGGATTCGCAGACTTCCCTTTCATTAGCAAATCCCGAAGGCAGCTCCCTCTTCCCAAAGGGCAGATTCAGAAAGGGTCCCGTCCAGCCTGGAAGGTGCCTGTCTGGGCACCTGGGGGAGCCTTTTCCCCTTTGGAAATTCTTTGGCATAATGAGATAATTGATCCTGCGGTCACGGTAACATCGGCAGGCTAATCATGGCACAGAGCCTGGTTTTGGGGCGCGGCCCGCGGTGTTCAGAGCAGAATGGGCACTGCTGCTTTGGAGAAAGCTCTTCTTCTAGGCCGGGGGCTCCAGCCAGCAAAGCAGAAGGATGATGGGCTTTGTAGGCCAAAGTGTCTCGAGGAGCCACCAGCCGCCCACCCATTTTTGGACTATTAAGAGGGGCTGACGGGGCATGTCGGGGGGTGGGGGGGGGAGTCACTTTCGTGAAACTACCAATGTCCGAGTCTTTACGTAGCAGTGCTCACCTCTGAATGAGACATCTCTAACAGCTTTCTTCTGCGATGGTTTTTTTTGAGGAGGGTAGTTTATAAGTGATCCCAAGACTTGCCCTTTCTTAATTATTGCTAGTGCAAAGCCAAAACATGGGCTTCCCTAAACTCCGTTCCTGGCAGACGCCCCGCCTCACTCGAGGGAGGTGCGGTTAATCGGCGGTCAAGAGGTGGCCGGGAGCGTGTGCCTCCTCAGGACCGCGGCTCTGGCCTGAAACGCTCAGCGGCACGTGCTTCGGGGGGAGGGGGGTCTGGGATCGGGCAGGGAGGCAGGGTGCCCATTGTCCCTGGATGCCAGTGGATTCCGATGGATGGAAGCCCAAGGTTCGACCCCCCATGACCCGGGCAGTTGCTGTTGCCTGCCCGAGCCAGGAGGCTTGGCTTGATGGGCCAGTGCAAGGCATCTTCCGAGGCTGCGATGCACCTGCTGCCAGCAGCCCCTGCTCAGGCGTTCGGCGGAAGCAGCACCTCGTACATCGCTTTTCTGACCCAGACCTAATTCGCAAGCAGCAATCTAAAGTCCGAGCTTGGCTTTTTCCTCCTCCTTCCCAAGCGCCCTTCCTTTTGTGCTGTCACTTTCAGTTTACAACCCAGCAGTCTTTCTCCTTCCCTGCACAACCTACCCTGGAGCCTGGGACGCTGGGTGAGTTGCCCGCCTGCATCCAACCAATGCCCCCCGCCCGCCCACCCGCCACCCGCCCGGCTCACCCGGATCTCCGTCATGACGGTGCACTTCACCAGCTTGAAGTTCTTGCCCATGTTGAAGCTGTTGCTGTGGAAGCAGACCTTCAGGATGCGGACTTCGTCCTTGTCGATGTCGATGGGCAGGGCCACCATGGTGGACTCGGCCGGCCCCGCCAGGCTGAAGCAGCTGCGCAGCGAGCTGGCCCTCAGCCGGCTCAGCGCCTCCGGCAGTCCGGACATCATCGCGCAGGGCGGGCGCTAGAGCCGCAGCATCCTCCTGCAGCCGGGAGAGAGCGCGGGGAGAGCGGTCAGCTGCGGCTCCGGCACGTCGGGGAGCCCGGGCTTCGGGCCCGGGGGCCAGAGCCGGCCCACCGCTGGCCACGCTCCTTCGCAGGCGCCACCTGCTTCCTCGCAGGTTTTCTTCCCAGGTAACCGTTGGAGCTCCTCTCCCAAGCCTCAGCTACTCTGTTTCATTACATTTTGCAGTTCCATTCTGCTTATTTATTGCATTGTTATTGCATTATTGTTTATTATTGTGTTGTTATTATTTCAGGTATTTCTCGGCGGTATGCAGCGCAGGTGACACGGGTTCCCGAAGCTCACGGGGTGATTTTGGGCCAGTGACTCACTCTCAACCTGCCTCACAGGGATGTTGTTGGCGTGAGGATAATGTGGAGAAGAGGGGAACCTTAAGCTGAGCTGCCTCGGGTGCCTTCCAAGGGGAAGGAAAGTGCCATAGAAATGCAATTATTGCACAAATAAGAATAAGGCCAAAGCGATCCTGGGAGGAAAGGAATCAAGGAGGATGTCCAAGAAACAGCGAGAGAAACCAGCAGACAAAAACAACAGCATGAGAAGCAGCAGAAACGGCCGCAGCCGCCATCCCATCTGGAGGAGCCCGGAGTGAGAGAGGCCTGCCGAAATGGCGCCTGTGCTGGAGCTGGGGAGCCAAGGCAGAGAAGGCCCTCTCACACGGGACCATTCCGCTTTGAGCCGAATGGCCCGCACAGTTTTGGCCATGCCTCTGTGGCCTTCGCCCTCCACTCCCTTGGACGAGGCCCCCAGCCAGGGCGCCCCTGAAATTCGATTTGGCCTCCAAAGGGAAGAGCCCCAGGCCGTGGCACGGGGCGGTGGCGTCCCCGCTTGCCACCAGCACGGGCTCAGAGAGCCAAGTCCTGCAGCCGTGCACCACGGAGATCTCCGTCCCGGCCCCCAACCCGGCCACACGCACGCACTGCGCCGCCACGCAAGCCATGAGAACGTTTGACTCAGCACGGAAGCGTCTGGTGCATCGCTGCAGAAACAAAACTGGGTCAGGAAAGTTCCCTCTGTGGTTGGAAGCCGCCACAGCAAGCGCCCAGCACTTCCCTCCCGTGGCGGAAAAGGACACGGTGCCTCTGAACGGCTTGGCTGCAACAGACAGTTGGCGGCGGGCTGCTTCCGTGGCTGACACTGCCGCAGAGCCTCGGGAAACAGTCCGTGGGACCCGGAGTGCCGTGCCGTGCCGCAGAAGGGGCACAAACAGCCGCGCTTCCGGAGCCGAGGGTGGGGAGTGGGAGGCTTCGGATGCCCCCTGCCCAGAAGCGGCAGGGGGCTGGCCCGGCACCCTCACAGGCTGCGACCTGGGAGGAGCAAGGCAGGGCCCCCCGAAAGGCAGCAGGGGAGCTCGAGGGCAGGAGGGAGCGGGGCTGAGGACACAGTTTGGTGCAGGCAGGCACCCAGGGGCCCCTCGCAGCTCAAAAGCTGAGCTCAGCCTGCTGCTGCTGTTGCTATTTTCATCTCTGTCCCCGGCAGTTTGCAACCATCCTCAAAAGGAAGCAATAAAACACAGCGCAAGCACCGCAACATCAAGGCAGCACTGGCCAAGTGAAACATGCAGTACGAATGACCCTGGAGAAGAAAGGCAGAGCGCCCGGGAGGGGCCATTCTCTCAGCCCTCCGGCAGCCAGGCACATCCTCAGAGGCCCTGGCACGCCCCACTGCCTTAATCTGGTGCCCAAAAGATGGCAAGGTTGGCTCTGGGGTGGGAGGGTGTGCCAGAGGGGGGCCACCACTGGGAAAGCCCTGTGGCCGCACTCAGAGCGTCCCTTGAGTCGGCACTTGCAGAACGGCCCCAGGAGCTGAGCGGGGCGTCTGGAAGATTGGCCCAGCCCGGCGGCTGCATTTCCAGAGCCTCTCCCAGGCAAACGAGGCTGGCCCAGCGTGGCCTGTGGGGCAGGTTCCAAGAGGGCATCCAAGGAGTTCCGACAGCTCACCCGGTGCACGAGCTCGGGGCCTCCCCCCGCTTTCCACACGCCTCGCCCGGCCAGCAGCTGCATCTCAGGCAGAATCAGCAGAACCAGATTGTGGAAGATTGCACGCTTATGCATTTGTGCAAACGGAAACAGTGGCCGCTGCATCTCAGGCACTCTCTAAGCAGCAGAGCCAGATTGTGGAAGATTGCACGCTTACGCATTTGTGCAAACGGAAACAGTGGCTGCTGCATCTCAGGCACTCTCTAAGCAGCAGAACCAGATTGTGGAAGATTGCACGCTTACGTGTTTGTGCAAACGGAAACAGCGGCCGTGCCATCACCACCAGGCCAGTGCCAGAAGGCACCTGAGCAGGACGGGTGCCTCGAGGGGCTCCTGGCACAGCCCCGCTGGGGGGTGGAGTGGGGAGAGCAGAACCTGCCGCCACGCACGCTCACCTGCGCAACAGAGCGCGTCAGGAGGGCCTCCCGGGCGAACAGAGAGAGAGGCCGCAGCAACATGCCACCGGCTCGGCACCTCTCCTCCCCCTTCCCCGCGAGCACCCCCACTTTAAGCCTGGGGTGGGGGCTGCCCAGCCTGTCTTGCTGCACGCAAGGCGGCCGGAGACTTTCTGGCTCGGGCAAGACAGAGCCACTCGAGTCCATCCGTGGCGAAAGAGGGCAGTTTGCTTGGCGTGGCCTCTTGCCTGACGGGGAGCTCGAAAGCGCGTCCCCTTTGGTGGGCCCGAGGCCGGCCAGGCGTGCGTGCAAATGCGTGTGTTTCAGTGCCAGGCACGGGATGGCGAAAGAGCCGCACGGAGCTGCCCCGAGAGGCCCGCCGCCCCGGGAGGGAGCGCTCGGTCCGCAGGGGGTGCGATTCTCACACGTACAGGCGCTTCCCGGAGAGATGGAGCCGGAGCCGGCTGCCTGCTTCCCCCTGCAGCCGCCGGCAGCTCCCTGCCAATTCCCTCTCTCCATCTGGCACCCGGCACTGGCTTCTGCTCCCTGTTTATCAGGGCTCCGTGCCGGAGGACAGGGTGGGCGGCTTGGGGGGGCCTGGTGCCGCCCCTTCGGCTCCTTTGCTTCTAAGCGCCTCCGCGCCTTCCTGCCTGTCCGAAGGGCGCTCGTGGTCACGAGGGATCCCCTGCCCCGCCGGGCCCCGGAGGGCCCCCGGACGGTGGGCCTGGGATGGCCCCAGCGGCTCGTGAGCAGGACGTGGGCAGCTAGGCCGGGGCGCCTCCAAGCGCAGCCTCGGGGCTGAGCTGGCCACGGACCTGGGCTTCCACAGCTCCAAGCACCAGGTGGGGGCCCAGGGAAGCGGTGCCAGCCCAAAGGCAGAATCCGTTCTGAGAAGGGCCTCGGGGGGGGGGGGCAGTATTATGGTCGGGGACAGAGACATATGGGATATGGACAGAATCAGCGTGGGGTGGACCCCTATGCCCAAACTGCAGTGCATTTGAGCTTCAACCCCTCCCAGCTCGTCTCAAAGCCTCACGAGGGCATTCAGTGGGGGAACCGTGCAAAGCCAGAAGACCCCCCCCCCCCAGGGGTGTCGGGGGCTAGGCTAGGAGGCATGGCCTGCAGAGCCCCAGCAGTGTTTCCGGCTTGGCGGTCCCCCAGCCCGTCTCCAGTGCCCCGCCACTGGCAGGACATTGCTCAGTGACCCAGCAAAGACAGGCTGCCCTTGTCCCGTGCCGGACCACCGGAGCTGCCAGGCAGGGGCCGAGACGCGCCTGCATGCCGAGCACGCGCGCAGCACAGAGCGGCTGAGCCAGGGACCGACGGGGGACCCTGGCCTGGCGCGGCCCCTCCCTCCCCCACCGCCCCTTGCAGACTTCCCGCCGAGCGGAGACAGGCGACTGGGTCGGGGGCTCCTACTGGCCTGCAGGGAACCCTCCTGCACGGGGATCCCCGCAGCCCTCCGCCCCCCGGCCTGGAGCCCTCCCGATGCCTTGGTCTGGCCTGCAAGCCGGCCAGGCGGCAGATGATGGCAGCCGCAGTCCAACTCGCCTGGCGGCCGGATTTCAGAGAGCTGTCCATCATGCCGCTGGACCTCGGCGCTGTATTTAACCCTTTGAACGGCAGCCAGGCTTCAGTCCAGGTCTCGCTTCTTTTCTGTCCGGCAGTGTTCACCCATTCAAATGTTTATACTGGACACTGTGCCACATTCAACCATTTTAAACTGACCATTAAGCTCTGGCTACTGGGTGGTATAAAAGTGGCATTAAGGGAGGAAGCTTAAATCTTGCTTAGCCCAAAGGAAGAAAGCCTTTCAGCTTCGGGTTGACTCTCCACAGATGACGGCCCAGCCGATCACGAGCTGGTTGGGGGCGCTGGGGGGCAAACCAGGCTGTCACTGGGGAAAGGGAGAGTGCCGCCCCCCCCCGGTGCCCGAGTGCCTCGGTTCCCCGGAACGGCGGCAAGGCACCTCTTCCCCGCAAATCCCTCCTCAGAACCTCATTTCCCGTAAAACGTTTCCCCAGGGCTGGCATGCAAGGTGGGCATCGCTGGGCCCACACGCCAGGACACGAGCCCCCCGAAACCGCACCTGCCACCCTGCCCTGCTCCCTACCCCTGGCTCGGGCACAGACAATGGGGGGGTGAGGAGGGGCTAAAGCACGCAAGGGGTGCCAGGAGGGCGAAGAGGCCGGGGCAGGGGCTGCAGGGGAAATGCTGCCACCCGTAAGGAGGGGGGAAACGGGACAGTGATGTGGAGGGAGGGGGGGCAGGTGAGAGATGGGGCACGGGGGCCCTCTAGGCCGGCCCACCGGAGGGGCCAACAGGAATTCTGCAGGGAAACGCATTCGCCTGTTTAACGTGGGGGTGGTGGGGGGGGAGGCTGCAAAGGTTTTAAAGGCACAACGCGGACCTGGCCCGAGTCGTGGCCGTTGCTGCATCGCCTCTTGCAGGAGGACATGGGGGAGGGCGAGTGGGGGGGGGGGGGGCGACTGCCTTCCCCAGCGGGGAGCTGCCCTAACTGCCTCCTTGGCAGGGGGGGGGGAGGGGAATGCTCCA